TGCACTACGAGAACTACCGCTCGGAGCGGCTCGCGCGCAATGGGCAAGTGCCTAAACGTCACACGTGAGTTAACTTTGCTTCATAATATTTGACTCTCCAAAAGCTTTTGACCGTGTAGTGCATGACGTGTTGTGAGATATGATCTGCTTAGAAACGCACTAACGTGGCTTAGAATGTATTTTAGAAATAGGCACTAATGTGTTGAAATAACTTGATCAGACGATATTGGTACACTCTACCTACAAACATAGGGGTACCCCAAGGTAGTTTGTTGGGACCATTGTTATTTTTATAATAGCGCATTACAACTAAACAATCCTAGGATTTACCTAGATGTTCTGTGTAATTAACTGATTATATCACAGGTCTACGGAAAGCGGCCTCAGCGAAGCCGATAGCAACGGTGTAACCAACGGCTCTAATGAAGATGCTGACCGTGCTCTTCGTGAAAAGGTATGATTTGTGTTTTCAAACTGTTGACGTTACTGTCTATTTTTGTGTTTTGTTCCCGATTCCCCCATAGTTTTTGTACTTGTGACTTCACAGTTTTCGATAGGGGGATGCGTGCGATATAGCCTTTCTGTGACATACTGAAATTCACATAGACAAAATCGCGGGCAGAAGCTATTATAATGAATTTTTAAAACACAAGGTTTACTATCCATACATGTTTGTAAAAACACCACCCTCCTTTTTTAGAAGTCAGTTACAATATAATTCTAATGATTGTTTCTAAATGTTCCTTTAACCTTAGGAGGCAGAGCTTCGTCGCATGCAGGAGATGCTGGAGCAGATGCAGCGGCAGATGCAGCTGGCCGCCGCCGGCGCGCCCACCACCGCATAGTGCACGCTCGACGCACAGGTACAAGGCTCAATATTGCATGACCTTAGGAGGCGGAGCTGCGTCGCATGCAGGAGATGCTGGAGCAGATGCAGCGGCAGATGCAGCTGGCCGCCGCCGGCGCGCCCACCACCGCATAGTGCACGCTCGACGCACAGGTACAAGGCTCAATATTACATGAATGCAGATTGCAGAAACGAAACAACCAATGCGCTTGAAAGCTAGACTGATACTGGTGAGCGAGACGAGATATAACGCTCGTGGCGCGGGTCTCACTACTTAGCAGTGCATTCTAATAAACCGCATGCACTACGATAATCATCATCAGGTCATTTAGGGTATGTTCCGATATGCACTGCAAGCACTGCCCAGTGCTCCACACCCAGCAGTGACAGCGCTGAGCAGTGATTGCAGTGCTATATACACTTAGTCTCCACTGACTGCAGAACATGACCCCTCAATTTTACCAGAAGCAGATGGAGGACTTTGCCTACATTCCTCATGATGGCCAGATGGGTTGAAAAGGCATGTTGTTCGCATCTTTCTCCCTTATTTGCCTCCTACGACAGCCACGGGAAGAATGGGCGTGGTCTTATTATATTCTGCCGGAACATGTTGCATACTATGATGCTAAAGGAAAACCTCTTCACCCTGCCAGATGTCGCTTATGAGCGTCAATTCAATGAATGTAACTATTTCATGTTTTTATTCATTCCAGTTAAAGACAAGTACGGCTGTCCACGTCCAGTTGCCAGACGCCTGCGACGTCGTGAACTCAATACTGCGCGTCATCCCTTACTGTGTCACCTCCAACTAACTGACTCTCGGACACACCCAGCCCGAAGCCCTATTGAAACGAATGTTTGGTGAATGAGTGCACGGTAAATGTAGTTTATGCGGTTATTAATCTTTACGTCATTCCTGTAATTGTCAAGTGATGTGAAAAAAATCTTTGGGTCTCGTGCAGTTTCATTTCGCGCACAAATTGCACAGATAATATGTATTTGGTGTGCCATTTTCGTGCGCAAATTACCAATTCGAATCAAACCAAAATGCGTCAGATGTGAAGTATTTCACTGTTTGTGATATGTCACATGACAGTGAAAAACCAGAATCGAACCCAACGTTTATTTTACATCATTTGATTTACATTACAAATGTTGAAAATGAATACAGTAGTATTTCATTCTTGTCTTCTAAAATGTAACTTACGTAATATTTTACATATTTTCATTTATTATATCATTTGTAATGAAAAATGAGTCTGGGTGTGTTTTTATTAATTTTTTTGTCATCTTGACAAGTATTATTTTTATACTCATTTATTTTAAAGGGCGTATTATACGATTTATGGTTATAAGTATATAGAGGTAGATGTTATCAAATTATACTTCTCTCTATTAGTAGAAATAAGAAGTTGCAATATTTAGTAGTCGCACAGAATGTTCCTGACCTTGTGGTCTTAGACAGAAATAAGTAAAAAATAAAAGTAAATAACCATGTTAATTAAAATAAATGACTAATGATGAACATTCTGTAGATTTAGATGAATTATAATGATTTCTTAGATGTTTCTGACTTTGAATTGATGAATGAAATGTGTTGCTTAGACTCGTATTCTATACTACGCTGAAAATTAAAGTCGGTATGGAATGCTCAGCATATTAACATTATTTCATAGTCAGAAATATCTAAGTTTGACCTAAAAATACTATGTGACGATTGGTTGTCAAATGTGGCCTCATTTAATGTTGATCTGATACGCAATTATATTGTTCTTGTGCCATCTTTGTAAAATATGTTTACTATGATACATTATTGTATGTAAGATCTGTCTTACAAGATATCAAGTTTTAATTTAAAAATACAACATTTTTTTGCTTTAGAACATAGCGTTATATCACCACATATCGTCCACTTTAGACACATATCATTGTTAATTCCTATCACCCAATAAAAATCATTAAATAATTTCCAATCCATGTTTTCGAATGAATATAGCTATAACATTGACATTATAACAATAACATTTAATTTTATGTAATTTGAATTTAGTCGCCAATCATTTATCATACCAATTTAGGCGTGTTAGGTTATTTAGCTTTATTGCTTGTGCAAAATGACTGATTTTGTATTCCAATATTACTCGAGTATTTACTTTTCTCATATTATATTGCTTGTTGACATTATAGAAAGCGAAAACTGAAGTCTGAATGTGCTTGTGAATGCAAAATTATAACGTAATGTAGGTACTTAAAGATCTTCAATCACTAATTGACATTTTATATTCCATTATTGGTGCATTTATTATGAAAATGAGAAATATTAATTTACAATTATTTCTCGTAATCTTATGAGTTGAAAAATAGTTCGCAAATGAATGATGTAAATTGTTTTGGTTGTGGACAGTTCAAATACAGGGTGCTCCTCCAAAATACATTTGTGTAAATATTCCAGTTTAAATAAACGCTACCTCTAACAGATGCACTCGACCCATTATTTTGAGTTCTCTGGCTAGGATTTTACCTAGTTTTGACTGTGCATAACTAAGTCAATTTATTAAATGAAAATGTATGCATGATATGCATAATACCATGACATTGATTAGAAGATACACATTTTTGTAGATTTGTCATCTAAAATCGTCCACTTTGTAATATGTATGTTAATTATTTTGGGGAGAACCCTTAGGTCACATGATATTTGAATAAAATTAACTTTAACCTTATCTGTCTCCTAGAATCTTTAAATCTTAGATTAAAATTGGTGCCAAAGCAAAAATAACTGGTTCTAAACTGTTAATGATACCAACGAAGGCGAAAGAAATTATATGAGTAGGTAACAACTTAAAATAGAAACTCCTATGTAATCATTATATTTTTTATATAATAAAATAAATATGAAGTGAACAAATGTGTTTGAATTAATATAACCTATCCATTTCTTGTTTATTTAAATTGATTACATTTCTATTAAAACTAACAGTTGCCTCATATCTCCTGAATAAAGTGAAATTAAGGCCGAACACAAGCCTTTTCAAATGTTATTTATTATTATTCTTGGTTAATTTTGTTTCATTCACCAATATCTTTCCCCCACTACACTGGGGGTAACTGGGAATTTATTTACAACCCGGTCAAGTTAACTGCGCACCTGTCTGAAATGCGACTGCCTCGCGCACTCTACCATAGACACCCTTCCCGCGTCCGCGTCGTTGCCCCGTCCGTACCAGTAGAGCGACTATATGACGTCACGGTGCCAGGTGCGCAGTTAACTTGACCAGGTTACAAATAATCTCCGAGAGACTGGATTTCCACCAAACAAGATAAGATAAACTTTATTTCTGAACAAATACAGAATTTTATTTTTATTTAGATTAATTAGAAATTATTCTTTCACAAACGGGGGAGACTGGGCCATTTTTGTAAGGGCTGCTTTTTCAATCGTCAGATATCTTTTATAGATGACCCACGCTGAACTGTCCCAAATTACTGAACCAAAATACTGAACTGTCCTACCCCTGACATTGACAGTGGGGCGCCACCGTCAATACCGGATCGCTGGTTCCGATTTTTGCCATGTCGGAAACCATATAGTTGAACGATGGTAGCGCCCCCCTGTCATTGAGTTTGGTGGGACAGTTCAGCGTGGGTCATCTATATTTTGGAACTATATCTGAGCCCCGATTACGGTAACTTTTATAACGTCTACAATCCAGATGCGTTTCTGATTCTGCGATACGATTGGTCAAAACAGCTGACGTACGCTGTTGAACGACCAATCGTATCGCAGAATCGAGAAGCGTGTCTGGATTGTTGACGTTAAAAATTACCGTAATCGGGGCTCAGAAGAATAAACTTGTCATTTTGACATATTTCCCATACTGAAACTGTCAATGTGTCAACTTATTCTTCAGTTAAAAATTATCTGACGATTGAAAAATCAGCCCTAAATAAAAAAATCCCATTTGCTCGCTAGTGGAGTGACCAAGGAGTGACACTGTTGGGTGGGGGCAACTGGGAATATCCGTTAATATCCGATCAACAATAAATTGGCTTAAAATTGCTTATCCCGAGCCGTTAACATATTGTAAAAAATAAATAACGTCAAAGTTTTTCTTTGACTTTGACATGTCCGCCATAATAAATTTTGATTTGATTGTGTGATTTTGTTGTTAAACACGGTGTTAAACTTTCGCATTTTATCAGTGTCTTGTGTTTTTCACCATGGCTATCGTAGAGGATGAAGTGAGAAATGACTCGGAGGAGGAGAATGAGATCGAAGTGGTAGTTGAGGAAGACGAAATGGAACACTTGGATTCCGACGACTCAGAGGTACGCATATTTTGTAATTTTGTGTTACCTTCTGATTCAATTTACTAATAATATCATAATTAAACGTAACAGAAACCTTCAAATTGCAATTCAGAAAGTGGGAGTACACTTAAATTTACATTTTAAGGTTATTTAGCATTCATTTCCTCATGGTAATGTCTACCACATTTTGGTTACATGATTGGCAAATCCAATTGGACTATATGATTTGACAATAAGCCAATTAGTGTGTTTTCAATAGTCACGACCCAATGATTTCAACCTGCACCGAATATTTTTATTGAGTTGCTATGCAGGGAAGGATCCTACAGTCCTACTCAATGAAACTGGTTTGTTAACCATTTTGGAGTGGCTCAACATTGTACTAACTGGACTATAATTTGGGACTTCATGAAATGTATTTATGAATATTTCGTATCCGTCATAATTTTCGTTCCTTAGATTGTTGTCTACTTGCTACATGGATGATCTACATATTAATATATTGAATTATGTTTATTTGTAAACATAATCAAAATTATGCGATAAAAGGCTTCTAGTCTGAAAACCAAGTTGAAAATAATTTAACCCTTCAATCTTCGCAAATCGAGACACAATAGATAAATTAATTGTTGTAAAGTTGGCTGAAAACGAAAAGTCTTAAGCGACCACTTTTTTAATAATTTCAGTTAAAATACTAAATGATTCAATATTTTGCACTAATATAGGTTTATCTGAATCTATAAATGATTCGGCCCATAGTATGGCAGACAAGATAAATTTTTTGCACTTGGATTTTCTAGTTGACTTTCTTAAATCTCAAACATTTATTTTTATTTAAAATGTTACAATAATCCAAATTCTCCCTATTTTTCAAAACATTCCTGTTGCGCTATGCATTGATTTTCAACTAAAATATAACTTTTTCACTAAGGTTCAATTATTTCATTTACTTGCTGGGTCCCAATAACCCACTCACATGTGTTATCCGTTTGAGCCAGATCAGAAATGTTACTGACCGGAGATTGTTTTGACAGGATGATGACGATGACGAAGTACAGGAGAGGAAGGTGGCAGAGCTGGAGCAACGGATCGCGGAGTACCCATACAACTATGACGAGCACATTGAGTTGATCCAAACCTTGTGGTGAGTGATGTGTGCTTTTACTTTTTCCTATTATTTATTCTATTTTAGTTATTGTATTGTGTTATGCCTGTGTGATTTGTCACAGGTATCATTATAAATAATAGCCTGATGTATTAAAAAGAATACAACATGGGACATATTAATATATTATTATTCATCAAAATCTGTTCTATAGTTCTTGCGTGAAAGAGTCAGGGCCACAGCAGACAAGCTATTACTTTTAGAATCGGCGATTGGCGTTTTTGTGACTGTGGATACAGTATCGCGATTTCGCCATATCATGCGTTTGGACGCTGCATCTTCGGCATCACGCGTATTAGCGACTGCTGTCGCTGGAGCTCGACTTCCTAAAGCGACTCAATCGTTGCGTTTGACGTTTTTAGATGTATGGTGTGGATGTGTGGTGGCTGCATTCAGCTTCTAAAAAGCGGCTAAATGCCGATCGCCAATGCTAAAAGTAGCATTGCGTGTGTGCTCTATAACAAACACATACATCCATAATGTAATTTGCAATCCAACCAATGAGATTAAGATTGGGCTGAATTGCACTACCTTACTTTAACCGTAACTACAAAATTAACTGGGGGTTTTATAAGGAGTTTATTAGACTTGACATTTTCTAAAATGGTGCAACACTGCATAAGTTATAGCATGCAACTCTGCTTCTAATAGGCGACTCTCGGAATTGGATCGCTGGAGGACTGCCTTCGAACGTCTGCAGAAGCTAACAGCCCTGCAGCCCGAGCACTGGCTTCTGCGGCTGCAGACCGAAATAACCCTGGCGCATTCCACGCAGGCGCGCGACAAAATCGCCGAACTCTTTCAACAGGCGATGCTCGATTGTTATTGTGAGTATTGCACAAACTGTTCTTATCATAAATTGTTTATGTGCGTTTGATATTTACATGTTTTATTTGTAGTTGATTACTTCTTGCCTGTGTCATATATTGAATGAAAACCTCATCATTTTAATCTTCTCTGAGTCAGAACTCAGATGTCTATGGTGGGGAGGCCTGATGTTCAAATATTTCTCCATTTGCCTCTAGTAAATTAGAGAGGAGTCTCCTGTTGTAGAGTGGAGACTAACACCCGTATTCACAAACGATGCTTGCAGTAAGTGAAGCAGCAAATCGAACGCACCTGTGCGTCCACGCGCACTGTGAGACCTCATAGTAATGTTTGTGAATACGGGCGTAAATGACCTAATGACGATGATTATTATTGATGATGTTAAATAACAATTACAGTACATACTTAATCATGTGTTCATTCCAGCTATCCCAATCCTAACTGAATGGTGCACATGGTCGCTTACTAGCGCGACGACGGAGGCGCGCGCGCAAATGGAGGAGATACTACGGCGCGCCGGAGCGGACCCGCTCTCGGGAAAGATCTTCTGGGACGCCAAGCTGGAACTGGAGAAGGCACAGCTGGACACTCTGACGTTAGTTATTGTTGAACATGTNACCATGCTCATGTGAGTGCCTTGATGTTACATACCCTTCTAGCACATTCTAGGCGGAGCAGAGAGAGGTGAAGCTAGGAAAAAGGTCCTGGTGCAACAAAACAGGGACCCTAATTAAGATGGTTTGTGCGAGCGACGCGTGCGCGGCCGGCTGTACCCGTGGGGCGTGGTCGAGGTCGAGAACCCCGAGCACTGCGACTTTATCAAGCTGCGGACTATGCTCATGTGAGTGCCTTGATGTTACATACCCTTCTAGCACATTCTAGGCGGAGCAGAGAGACGTGTAGCTATAAAAAAGGTCCTGGTGCAACAAAACAGGGACCCTATTAAGCTGGTTTGCGCGGGCGCCGTGTGCGCGGCCGACTGTACCCGTGGGGCGTGGTCGAGGTCGAGAACCCCGAGCTCTGCGACTTTATCAAGCTGCGCACTATGTTCATGTGAGTGCCTTGATGTTACATACCCTTCTAGCACATTCTAGACGGAGCAGAGAGAGGTGAAGCTAGGAAAAAGGTCCGGGTGCAACTAAACAGGGATCCTAATTAAAATGGTTTGTGCGAGCGACGCGTGCGCGGCCGGCTGTACCCGGGGTGTGGTCGAGGTCGAGAACCCCGAGCACTGCGACTTTATCAAGCTGCGCACTATGCTCATGTGAGTGCCTTGATGTTACATACCCTTCTAGCACACTCTAGGCGGAGCAGAGAGAGGTGAAGCTAGGAAAAAGATCCTGGTGCAACAAAACAGGGATCCTAATTAAGATGGTTTGTGCGAGTGACGCGTACGCGGCCGGCTGTACCCGTGGGGCGTGGTCGAGGTCGAGAACCCCGAGCACTGCGACTTTATCAAGCTGCGCACTATGCTCATGTGAGTGCCTTGATGTTACATACCCTTCTAGCACATTCTAGGCGTAGCAGAGAGGTGTAGCTAAGAAAGAAGTCCTGGTGCAACAAAACAGGGCCCCTATTAAGCTGGTTGGTGGACTGTACCCGTGTAGTGGTCGAGGTCGAGAACCCCGAGCACTGCGACTTTATCAAGCTGCGCACTATGCTCATATAAGTGCATTGCCTACAAACACTTCCACAGCATATAGTTCTAGGCAGCAAAATTGGGGCCCAAACTAACGAGCGTCCTTATCAAATTGCGTACCATGCTTATGTAAGTACCTTGCTGCTACATACACTTCCAGCAGTTCTGGCTCATTCTAGCCGGATCAGAGAAAGGTTTGGCTAGGAAATAAAGTCCAGTGCAACAATACTGGAGGTGTGCGGCCGACTGTCTATACCCGTGGGGCGTCGTCGAGGTCGAAAACTCCGAGAACTGCGACTTTATCAATGCTGCGCACTATGCTCATGTGAGTGCCTTATGCTACATAAGTATACTCGTACATCCACAGCTGCTAAGCAAGGTATAGCTAGGAAACTTGTAGCGCGGTGCAACAAACCTGGGCCCGTAAATGAAGTGTTTTATGCGGCCGACTGTACCCGTGGGGCGTGGTCGAGGTTGAGAACCCTGACCACTGCGACTTTATCAAGCTGCGCACCATGCTGAACTGGTGCCTTACTGCTAAAGACACTTTCAGCTCAGTGCAGCTAGAAAACCAGAGGTCATGTTGCCACAAAGCTGAGGCTCTTAAGTGTGTGACATTATCAAGCACCTTGCTACTGCATTGTGGGTAAGATATCGATCTCGTAAAGTATCTTCAAAGGAACTATACAAGTTAATTTTTACAGCTTCTTCCTAATAACATTTGTGGATTATGTCTCCAATAGTAATTTGCATAATGTTTGTTTGTAGCACTCACATGCAAGACCTGCAGGAGGTGACGCAAGAGGTGCACTACGAGAACTACCGCTCGGAGCGGCTCGCGCGCAGCGGGCAAGTGCCTAAACGTCACACGTGAGTTAACTTTTTTTCATAATATTTGACTCCAAAAGCTTTTGACCGTGTAGCGCATGACGTGTTGTGAGATATGATCTGCTTAGAAACGCACTAACGTGGCTTAGAATGTATTTTAGAAATAGGCACCAATGTGTTGAAATAACTTGATCAGACGATATTGGTACGCTCTACCTACAAACAGGGGTACCTCAAGGTAGTTTGTTGGGACCATTGTTATTTTTATAATAGCTCATTACAACTAAAAAATCCTAGGAATTACCTAGATGTTCTGTGTAATTAACTAATTATATCACAGGTCTACGGAAAGCGGCCTCAGCGAAGCCGATAGCAACGGTGTAACCAACGGATCTAATGAAGATGCTGACCGCGCTCTTCGTGAAAAGGTATGATTTATGTTTTCAAACTGTTCACGTTATTGTCTATTTTAGTCTATTCTGTTCTGTTTATGCTATGCCAGTTTTTGCACTTGTGACTTCCCGGTTTGCGATAGCGGATATAGCCTTTATGTGACAGACCCAAATTCACGCAAGCGGAGTTATGGGCTAATACTTATAATGACGTCTTAAAACACCAGGCTTATTGTCCATGCACTTGTGTAAAAAAATCTACCACTCTCCTTTTTAAAAGCCAGTTAAAATGTAATACTAATGATTGTTTCTAAGAGTAGGCGCACACCGTCGATTTTTAGTTGGCCGATAGTTGTGCCCGATTTTAATTTGTATGAAGAATGGGCCAAATCGAATCGGCGTAGTGTGCGCACTCCCATACATGCCCATACTGATCAACTGCCCGACTAAACTATCGGCCGACGAAAAATTAACGGTGTGCGCCTACTCTTAATGTTCTCCTAATGCAGGAGGCGGAGCTTCGTCGCATGCAGGAGATGCTGGAGCAGATGCAGCGGCAGATGCAGCTGGCCGCTGCCGGCGCGCCCACCACCGCATAGTGCACGCTCGACGCACAGGTATAAGGCGCAATATTGCATGAATGCGGATTGCAGAAATGAAACAACCGATGCACTTGATATCTGAATTGTTACTGGTGATTGTGGTGCGTGACGTTCTAAAGCCTGGTCCGTGAGCACGTAGAATTTTGTCCAATGACCCCAAGCTACCCATCCTTATCGCTCGCGCGTAATTATGTTGCTGTCGCGCTCGCACACTCACTCACACTCATTCTACGTGCTCACGGACCAGGCTTTAGTATACCACACAAAGACTACGATCACCGTCAAGTTCTTTACTATCACTTGGTCATTTAGTCTCCAGTGCAAGGAATGACCCTCTCCACTTTCTAGGCAGATGGAGAATTTGGCCTAGACTCTTCACCTACACTCTTCACTCACACTCTTCACTCTGGCCAGATGGGTTGATGTTGTTAGCATATTTCTGCCTTAGTCGCCTTACGGCCGGTTCACACATGTCTCCGTTTTACTGTTCCGTTTTATTGTGTACGTTTTTTTTTCGTCGATGTATGTATGTATGTATTATTATTATTATAATACTGTGTCATGTGTGAAGTCGCTCATACAACTACATACGCCATCGACGAAAAAAAACGTAGACGATAAAACGGAGACATGTGTGAACCGGCCGTTATTTATACGACATACACGGCAAGAATGGGCGTGGTCTTATTATATTCTGCCGGAAAATGTTGCATACTATGATGCTAAAGGAAAACCTCTTCACCCCGCCAGATGTCGCTTATTAGCGTCAATTCAATGAATAAATGAATGAATGTAACTATAGTCTGGACGCCGAGCAGCACACTCATTGCTGCCGCCCGTCGCACAGTCGCGACAGCAATATAATTACGCGCGAGCGATAAGGATAGGTAGCTTGGGGTCATTGGACGAAATTCTACGTGCTCGGTGACCAGACTTTATTTCATGTTTTTATTCATTCCAGTTAAAGACAAGTACGGCTGTCCACGTCCAGTTGCCAGACGCCTGCGACGTCGTGAACTCAATACTGCGCGTCATCCCCTACTGTGTCACCTCCAACTAACTGACTCTCGGACACACCCAGCCCGAAGCCCTATTGAAACGAGTGTTTGGTGAATAAGTGCACGGTAAATGTATTTTATATTAACAATCTATACGTCATTCCTGTAATTGTCAAGTGATGTGATAAAAAAAGTTTGGGTCCGGTGCCGAGATGAATACAGATTATTTTTGATGTTTAAGAATAAAATTTCGCGCACGAATTGCACAGATAATAATGTTATTTGGTGTGCCAGTTTTGGGCGCAAATTACCAATTCGAATCAAAACAAAATGCGTCAGATGTGAAGTATTTCACTGTTATGTGAGATGTCACATGACAGTGATAAACCAGAATCTAACCCAATGTTTATTTTACATCACTTGATTTAAATTACAAATGTTGAAAATGAATACTAGTCCAGTAGAATTAGCTTTTAAATCGGAAATAATTCCTACAAAAGATTTTATTGTTTTAATGGCTTCATTGGTTGCCCATTAAGACTCTCCTAAGTTTTCGACTTCGACGGAGTTGTGCTTAAGTGGTGGGGGCCCCCGAAAGAGGCATATTTTCGGTTTTCCGGTTATACCGCGTAAAGGTAAGTCCTTTATCAAAAAGTGGTCTTCATGACGGTTAAAGGGCACTTAATCCTGCATTGAATAAGACCAAATTCATATGTTTTGGACAAACCGTTCTCGCGCTAAAGTTCGGCAAAGTAGAAAATATACGTCTAATTAATGACCCTCTCCACGTCCAATGGTTTGTTACCCACAGGCTTCCAAGTCTTGAAAAGGGCCACCTCAACCAGTGTAACCCTATCAAGGCTTACGAGCNAGCGCGACGATAGAAGCGTGCGCGCAGATGGAAGAGATACTGCGGCGCGCCGGCGCGGACCCGCTCTCGGGCAAGATCTTCTGGGACGCCAAGCTGGAACTAGAGAAGGCCAAGCTGGACACTCTGACGTAAGTTATTGTTGAGCATGTTCTTCCTTTAGCACATGGTTGATAGTAGTGCGACGACGGAGGCGCGCGCGCAGATGGAAGAGATACTACGACGCGCCGGCAAGATCTTCTGGGACGCCAAACTCGAGCTAGAGAAGGCACAGCTGGACACTATTACTTAAGTTATTGTTATTGTGTAAGAATGTTCTTCCTTTAGCACATGGTCGCTTACTAGCGCGACGACAGAGGCGCGCGCACAGATGGAGGAGATACTGCGGCGCGCCGACGCGGACCCGCTCTCGGGCAAGATCTTCTGGGACGCCAAGCTGGAACTGGAGAAGGCCCAGCTGGACACTCTGACGTAAGTTATTGTTTAACAATGTTCTTCCTTTAGCACATGGTCGCCACTAGGGCGACGACAGAGGCGCGCGCGCAGATGGAAGAGATACTGCGGCGCGCCGGCAAGAACTTCTGGGACGCCAAACTCGAGCTAGAGAAGGCACAGCTGGACACTGACGTAAGTTATTGTTGAACATGTTCTTCCTTTAGCACATGGTCGATAGTAGCGCGACGACAGAAGCGCGCGCACAGATGGAAGAGATACTGCGGCGCGCCGGCGCGGACCCGCTCTCAGGCAAGATCTTCTGGGACGCCAAACTGGAGCTAGAAAAGGCACAGCTGGACACTATGACGTGAGTTATTGATTGTTGAACAATGTTCTTCCTTTAGCACATGGTTGATAGTAGCGCGACGACGGAGGCGCGCGCGCAGATGGAAGAGATACTACGGCGCGCCGGCAAGATCTTCTGGGACGCCAAGCTGGAACTAGAGAAGGCACAGTTGGACACTCTGACGTAAGTTATTGTTGAGCATGTTCTTCCTTTAGCACATGGTTGATAGTAGCGCGACGACGGAGGCGCGCGCAGATGGAAGAGATACTGCGGCGCGCCGGCGCGGACCCGCTCTCGGGAAAGATCTTCTGGGACGCCAAGCTCGAGCTGGAGAAGGCACAGCTGGACACTCTGACGTAAGTTAATGTTAAAGTGTAAGAATGTTCTTCCTTTAGCACATGGTCCTCACTAGCGTGACGATAGAAGCGCGCGCGCAGGTGGAAGAGATACTACGGCGCGCCGGCGCGGACCCGCTCTCGGGAAAGATCTTCTGGGACGCGAAGCTGAAACTGGAGAAGGCACAGCTGGACACTCTGACGTAAGTTATTGTTGAACAATGTTCTTCCTTTAGCACATGGTTCTCAGTAGGGCCACGACAGATGCGCGCGCGCAGATGGAAGAGATACTGCGGCGCGCCGGCGCGGACCCGCTCTCGGGAAAGATCTTCTGGGACGCCAAGCTCGAGCTGGAGAAGGCACAGCTGGACACATTGACGTAAGTTAATGTGTAAGAATGTTCTTCCTTTAGCACAAGGGGCAATTAGTGTCTCATCTCATGAGTGAGTACTATCATCATCGGTTGCTAACCAACATCCTGATGCATCATATGATTCTGTGGCTCGACTTCCGCCTGGCGCGGCAACCACATAAAAAAAAAACAAATTATGGCCACGATAGCTGAACGGTGAAGGGGTCGGAGTGGCCGACTCGAGATCCGAGGAACGCGGATCCGAATCCCACTGCCGCTCGACTATTGTAGCCCATTCGTAACACAAGCTTTTCGCTTAACACGAGGGGCTAATGGGACTATTAGTGATTTGGGCAATACAAATTGCTTGCTAATAATCTTTGTAAACAAAAGCCGGACAGGCCGAACAAGGCAATATTTGGCCGGACAAGACTTTAAAAAGCCAAACATGTCCGGCTAAAGCCGGACGCCTGGCAACCCTATCTGGGACGCCAAACTCGAGCTAGAGAAGGCACAGCTGGACACTCTGACGTGAGTTATTGTTGAACAATGTTCTTCCTTTAGCACATGGTCCTCAGTAGCGCAACGACGGAGGCGCGCGTTGATGGAAGAGATATCGCCGCTGGTGCGAACCCGCTAGAGAAAGCACAGCTAGTAAACACTATGGCGTCATTTATTCTCTCTCGTCTTTTGATTAGCGGATTAACCTATTAGCGGTTCAATTCTGGCTAGATATGAAACAGTTCATACGGCGACCAATGAATAAAATTCAATTCTGAACAAAGCCATATTATCTTTTATGTGACGAGACGCACGAGTGTTATACATTTATACAAGTTCTTTTCTTTTGCAGCGAAGACGACCCAGACTACAAGATGCAGCAAGGGCGCGTGCTGTGGTGCTTGGAAGAGACAGTCTCCCGGCCACTCTTGAGAGCCGAAGAGGCGTGGCAGCAGACTCAAGAGCTCGCCTTGGCACTCCACAGCCAGGAGTACGTTGATAAGGTAAGTCATCATCATCACAGGGCGTCCACTGATCATACTACAAGATGCAGCAAGGGCGCGTGCTGTGGTGCCTCGAGGAGACGGTCTCGCGGCCGCTCTTGAGAGCCGAAGAGGCGTGGCAGCAGACTCAGGAGCTCGCCTTGGCGCTGCACAGCCAGGAGTATGTTGATAAGGTACATCATCATCACAGGACGTCCACTGAACATAGCATAAGATGCAAAAAGGGCGCGTGCTATGGTGCCTTATTGTCTCCCGGCCACTCCTAAGAGCCGAAGAGGCGTGGCAGCAGACTCATGAGCTCGCCTTGGCGCTGCACAGCCAGGAGTACGTTGATAAGGTACGTCATCATGACCACAGGGCGTCCACTGATCATACTACAAGATGCAGCAAGGGCGCGTGCTGTGGTGCCTCGAGGAGACAGTCTCCCAGTCACTATTGAGAGCCGAAGAGGCGTGGCAGCAGACTCAGGAGCTCGCCTTGGCGCTGCACAGCCAAGAATACGTTGATAAGGTACGTCATCCTCACCACAGGACTACTGAACATTAATACAAGATGCAGCAAGGGTGCGTGCTATGGTGCCTCGAGGAGACAGTCTCCCAGTCTCTTGAGAGCCGAAGAAGCGGGGCAGCAAACTCAGGAGCTCGCCTTGGCGCTGCACAGCCAGGAATACGTTGATAAGGTAAGTCATCATTATCGTTTCAGCCACAGAACGTACACTGCGGAAATTATTTCTATTTACCGGGTTGATAGTTGCCTACATCCTAATTGAAAGGGATGACAACTTAAAAAAAGTTTTAAGCTATCGTTTTATTCGTTTTACTAATTAAATAAATAATAATAAATAAATATCCTTGGACATTTAACACTGCGCCGCTAGCCCCAAACTAAGCAAAGCTTGTACTATGGGTACTAGACAACGGATATAAACATACTTAAAATACTTTTTTTTTTGTAAATACATACTTAATATACATAGAAAACACCCAGACCCGTCACAGAATTACAAGTTTGCGTGCACCACTGGCTAGTGACAGAACCTTACTGTTACAGTACAGTGACGCCATTTTGGTAAGTGCAAATGCCATAGTTCTCCTACCGCCTCAGCGCTCACCAGTTGGCGCCACTATACTTACGTAGCTACCCTACCCTACAGTGGCGCCTACTGGTGAGGTTTAAAACGATAGCCTCATTAACCATGTTTCCATAGTTAATCTTGACTTTATACAAATGTAATACGACTCGTGTTTTCAGGTTAAAACGCAACATGAAGCGGCCCAAGATTTCTTACAGAAAATAACGCCATACGAAGACAAGTTACTGACAGTGGAGTAAGTATCAGTAACTCTGTAGGATGAGTAAGCATGTGAAAGTTTTAGTATTATTAGTTTTACCCTATTGAGCAAATGTACATTATGTATTGTTTATTTTTAGGAACCTAGACGAGAAGTTCAAGATTTATGTGGAGTACATAGGACTGGTTGAAGAGTTGGCGCACGATAAGAAGTACGGTGATTGCGATATTGATGGAATTCTGAAGGTAAAAATGATATTTGTATTATTTTTAAATCCCAAATGGTTAGATTTTATCATCAGTTCATGTTAACAAAATATTGTATACTGTTTATTTGTTGCGCCTTGTTTCTATAATAAAATATTGGATAGATAACGATAACAAATACAACTGCTCGTGTCCTGTACATAAAGAATTTGCACACGGCGCGGCGGGATTTTAACTCGCTATCGCCAATGACGTTACAGTCCATTGCGCGAGTCACCAGAACAGCCTTGACTGATCTTCCAAAGTTTTAAACTGCCACCCACTGAAAATCAGTGTCTTAGCAGTTACACTGTCAACGGCTTTTTGGCAACTTTATCGTTTTTTTTATGCCAAACAAATCTATTTTCTTTCTTTCTTCCTTTAAAGTTTCAAACACTTTCAGGTGCTATACGACCGCGCTACAACCGAGTGCATCACGGTCTCAGGCGTGCACTCGCTACTCAAAGCCTACGTGCGTCACGTGCGAGCATGCGCTTCCCGCGCCTCATACTGTCGCATTCTCGACGCATGCTCGCGCCGCTGCCCGCGACGTCACACCTTCTGGTCGCTCAAGATACGCTACGCGGAGCAAGAATCCGTCCCCGCTGCGGAGGTGAGCCCATTTACGACCTTGTGCCGTGCACGTAAGGTGCATTATGCCTACTACCGCGTGCTCGACACCTGCGCGCGACGTCACACCTTCTGGTCGCTCAAGATACGCTACGCGGAGCAAGAGTCCGTCCCCGCCGCGGAGGTGAGCTAATTAAGTCCTTGTGCTGTGCACGTAAGGTGCATTATATGTCTTCTACTGCCGCGTGCTCGACGCATGCGCGCGACGTCACACCTTCTGGTCGCTCAAGATACGCTACGCGGAGCAAGAGTCCGTCCCCGCCGCGGAGGTGAGCTAATGAGGGCTATCGTTTTTATACTTAACAGTTGGCACCCCCTGGCGATTGACAGGACCTTACTCTACAGTGGCGCCATCTTGATGAGTGCAAATGCGATAGTCCTCCTACCTTTAGCGCTCACCAGTTGGTGCCACTGTCTTCGCTACTAGCAAGTGACAGGACCGTACTCTACAGTGGCGCTAACTGGTGAGCGCTAAAACGATAGCCCTCATTAAGTCCTTGTGCCGTGCACGTAAGGTGCATTATGTCTACTGCCGCATTCTCGATGCCCGCGCGCCGCTACTTCGCAAGGAACGCAGTCAGTTTCATTAATTCATTTTATGAGTGACAAAGAGAGAAAAGGCGTTCGGTCAATTCTAATAGGGATATCTCGATATAATGTCCCGACATTGGTTTTCAGCAGGAATCCCGTCTGATATTATGCATCCTTTCGACAAGGACGTAAAGTTAAAGAGAAAATTGCACAGAAATTATTAAAAGTCATGAAACTCATTTTATTTTTGCAAGTAGGCTTTTAAAAACGACTTTTACACTTCCCAGAATTAACCGTAACACTGCTGCATTACAAAAAAGGGTCAGAAGAAGCAGCGCAAGAAACTATTGATTAATCCTTCAAGGCCCGCGAATCTAGACACAATAGATAATCAATAGGCTAGTTGCCTAAAAAAATTTTTTTAGTCCGTAATGTTTAATATAAAAAAATATTGGACACATATATTTTTATTTGTCAATCTAACAANAGCTGGAGAAGGCACAGCTGGACACTCTGACGTAAGTTAATGTTAATGTGTAAGAATGTTCTTCCTTTAGCACATGGTCCTCACTAGCGCGACGACAGAGGCGCGCGTTGATGGAATAGATACTGCGGCAGGCCGGCGCGGACCCGCTCTCGGGAAAGATCTTCTGGGACGCCAAGCTGGAGTTAGAGAAGGCACAGCTGGACACTGACGTAAGTTATTGTGTTACTTTCTTTAGCACATGGTCGATAGTAGCGCGACGACGGAAGCGCGCGTTGATGGAAGAGATACTGCGGCGCGCCGGAGCGGACCCGCTCTCGGGCAAGATCTTCTGGGACTCCAAGCTTGAGCTGTAGGCCTAAGATGTGCGCCGTGATAACTTTTATCGACGTAAAAATGTATTGAAATAATCGATAAAATGGCGTGATAACCGCTTATCGCGGCGCGCATCTCAGGCCTACTGGAGAAGATCTAGCTGGACACTATGACGTAAGAATTGTTTAAGAATGTACTTTATTTAGCACATGGTCGCTCACTAGCGCCACAACAAGGCGCGCGCGCAGATGTAAGAGCAGAGATATCGCCGCCGGCGCGGACCCGCTAGAGAAGACAGCTAGACTATTACGTAATTTATTCTTTTGAATAGCGGATTTACCTATGTTTGTTAATGTTGAATTCTGGCTAGCTACTCCCGCTATATGAAACAGTTCACGCGGCGACCAATGAATAAAATCCAATTCTGAACGGAGCCATAATATCTTTAATGTGACGAAACGCATCAAGTGTTATTATGTTTATTGTTTATACAAGTCCTTTTCTTTTGCAGCGAAGACGACCCAGACTACAAGATGCAGCAAGGGCGAGTGTTGTGGTGCCTCGAAGAGACAGTCTCGCGGCCACTATTGAGAGCCGAAGAGGCGTGGCAGCAGACTCAGGAGCTCGCCTTGGCGCTGCACAGCCAGGAATACGTTGATAAGGTACGTCATCATTATCGTATTCTTATTTATTATAGTATTATGCTTCAAGCTGTCCGTGTATAGCAGGCCTTACAGTACAGTGACGCAATCTTGGTAAGTGCAAATGCCATAGTTTCAGTAGCATACTTACGACCTTACTATACTATACTTACGTAGCAACCTTACTCTACAGTGGCGCCTACTGGTGAGGTTTAAAACGATAGCCTCATTAACCATGTTTCCATAGTAAATCTTGACTTTATATAAATGTAATACGACTCGTGTTTTCAGGTTAAAACGCAACATGAAGCGGCCCAAGATTTCTTACAGAAAATAACGCCATACGAAGACAAGTTACTGACAGTGGAGTAAGTATCAGTAACTCTGTAGGATGAGTAAGCATGTGAAAGTTTTAGTATATTAGTTTGACCCTATTGAGCAAATGTACATTATGTATTGTTTATTTTTAGGAACCTAGACGAGAAGTTCAAGATTTATGTGGAGTACATAGGACTGGTTGAAGAGTTGGCGCACGATAAGAAGTATGGTGATTGCGATATTGATGGAATATTGAAGGTAAAATGTTTATATTAATTTTAAAATTCCAAATGGTTACATTTTTATCATCAGTTCATGTTAAAAAAAATATTGTATACTGTTTATAATACGATACCAAATACAACTGCTCGTGTCCTGTACATAAAGAATTTGCACACGGCGCGGCGGGATTTTAACTCGCTATCGCCAATGACGTTACAGTCCATTGCGCGAGTCACCAGAACAGCCTTGACTGATCTTCCAAAGTTTTAAACCGCCACCCACTGAAAATCAGTGTCTTAGCAGTTACACTGTCAACGGCTTTTTGGCAACTTTATCGTTTTTTTTTTATGCCAAACAAATCTATTTTCTTTCTTTCTTCCTTTAAAGTTTCAAACACTTTCAGGTGCTATACGACCGCGCTACAACCGAGTGCATCACGGTCTCAGGCGTGCACTCGCTACTCAAAGCCTACGTGCGTCACGTGCGAGCATGCGCTTCCCGCGCCTCATACTGTCGCATTCTCGACGCATGCTCGCGCCGCTGCCCGCGACGTCACACCTTCTGGTCGCTCAAGATACGCTACGCGGAGCAAGAGTCCGTCTCCGCCGCGGAGGTGAGACGATTGCGACCTTGTGCCGTGCTCGTAAGGTGCATTATACCTATTGCCGCGTGCTCGACGCGTGCTCGCGCCGCTGCCCGCGACGTCACGCCTTCTGCACGCTCTAGATGCCCTACGCGGAGCAAGAGTCCGTCCCCGCCGCGGAGGTGAGCTAATGAGGGCTATCGTTTTTATACTTAACAGTTGGCACCCCTGGCGATTGACAGGACCTTACTCTACAGTGGCGCCATCTTGATGAGTGCAAATGCGATAGTCCTCCTACCACTTTAGCGCTCACCAGTTGGTGCCACTGTCTTCGCTACTGGCAAGTGACAGGACCTTACTCTACAGTGGCGCTAACTGGTGAGCGCTAAAACGATAGCCCTCATTAAGTCCTTGTGCCGTGCTCGTAAGGTACATTATGTCTACTGTCGCGTGCTCGACGCATGCTCGCGCCGCTGCCCGCGACGTCACACCTTCTGGTCGCTCAAGATTCGCTACGCGGAGCAAGAGTCCGTCCCCGCCATGGAGGTGAGCTAATTAAGTCCTTGTGCTGTGCACGTAAGGTGCATTATAATATGTCTACTGCCGCGTGCTCGACGCCTACGCGCGTCACTGCCCGCAACGTCATACCTTCTGGACTCTCAAGATACGCTACGCAGAGCAGGAGTCCGTCCCCGCCGCGGAGGTGAGCCCATTACGACCTTGTGCCGTGCACGTAAGGTGCATTATGTTTACTATCACGTGCTAGATGCCCGCGACGTCACACCTTCTGGTCGCTCAAGATACGCTACGCGGAGCAAGAGTCCGTCCCCGCCGCGGAGGTGAGCTAATTAAGTCCTTGTGCTGTGCACGTAAGGTGCATTATATGTCTTCTACTGCCGCGTACTCGACGCATGCGCGCGACGACACACCTTCTGGTCGCTCAAGATGCGTTACGCGGAGCAAGAGTCCGTCCCCGCCGCGGAGGTGAGCCCATTACGACCTTGTGCCGTGCACGTAAGGTGCATTATGTTTACTGTCACGTGCTAGATGCCCGCGACGTCACATCTTCTGGTCGCTCAAGATTCGACCCTAACACTGCTGCATTACAAAAATGGGTCAAAAGAAGCAGCGCAAGAAACTATTGATTAACTAGTACTTTTTCATCCTCAGATAAAGGCACTATTCGAGACGGCGATCGCCAAAGGCATGTCGACGTACAAAGACGCGGAGGCGCTGTGGTATGGTTATTTGGAATTCGTACGCCGGCGCACGCATTTCGAGAACCCCGAGCAAGTCGAGACGCTGCGCCAGAACTTTCGCCTGGCTTGGGATTCGCTGGCCGAGGTAAACAAATAAAATAACTGTTTTCACATTGACTATGGAAAGTTAAAAAAACTAATCCGGCAACGAAAAAAAAGCCATCCAAATCCAACATAATGGAAAAAAATCCATTCATCAATCCAAAAATCCATCTTAAAATGAATAAAAAAAGAAGGTTTATAGGCGGAGGCGGAGGACGTTAGGAGGCGGATTCTACGGAGAAACATACGAGTATAAATGGACTGTTAATATCGGTCGGTTAAACATATTACTTTGTTGTTTCAGACGTGGGCAGATGAGGCAAATGATTGCGAGATTCCGCTTTTCTGGGCGCGACTCGAATACAACCGGATTAATGACCATAAACAAGGCAAAGATATCTTTGAAGAGATATTCCGTAAGTGTACTCTACTTTGCTTTTTATGCTTTTACTCTTAATTTTTGTATAATTTGAAACGTCTTTTTATCTGATATATTTTAATGGGTACCCAACTTTTCAGAGTATGGCGAGAACAAATCAATGTCAAAGTACTGGGAGGCGTTGATCGCNACCTAAACTTACGCTAAATTCAAAAACAAAAAAGGTCGGGGTAATCAACAAAATAATCCAGATCCGGAGAATGACCGAAAAGTGTGTTGAGTTGAGTTTATCCAGTGAATTTAGCTCCTGAAGTAATGTTTGAAGTAGACGATAGAATTTTGCTGGGAGAATGTGGGAATAATTTTTATAATGTATATTTTTATTTTCAACATTTCCAGAGCTTTTGTTTAGATGTTAAACAATATTATGTTCATACGAGTAGTATGAGTGATATTATTTTTTATTGGAAAGCTACTCTAGGTATTAATAAATTGTTATTGTTAACTTCCAATGAACCGATTAAATTAAACAATAATTATCAAAATAAATTGTTGTTTTTGTTTGGTGAAACATGCGAGTACTTTTAAGTAATTTATCGACGCAAAGGCCATTGTATGAACAATGTCACGTCATTGAATTAACTAAAGATTAAACTAAAAATATTTGTCAATCTAGATATAAAGAGTGGGTCAATAGAACTGAAGTTCAATAGAACAGGAACTCGTTAATCAAGGAATCAAATTAACTGGTGTTCAAACGTCAAGTGTGGGGTCAAAGGAGTTTGACAGTGCGTGCGGGTCATTGCATCGATATGACGTGTTCAAACGAGAAGTGATAATTTTACACGTGGATTAGTTTTACGAATTCTACATACATATTTTCTTTAGCAGTGTTGGTTACATAATGTAGGAATTTAGAGCGCATGTTTTTAATAGTGCGTGAATGGTGCCATCCGCAAAAGTTAATGCAGATTCAATTTCTTTACCGAATGATAATTTGATAAAATGTATTTTAAAACAGCTGTGGTTGTTATCGTACCGGTTTCGATAACAAATGGTATCATAGAGCAATACCGAACGCCTAATAAAACGTATGGTGCAAAGACGCTGTAGTGTGATGTGTATTCTCATTTTTTCTTTGAAACAGGTAAATAATAGAGCGATAATATAGGAATGCTATTATTTCTAATACAGAGTGTGGTTTTGTAAAACAACGCAAACAGGGGTAAATACAATTTTAACTATTACTTTAATAGTAAAAAACCTTGTTCAAACGTCCGCCCGTTACCGCCCGCACCACCCCCGCGTACCCCGCTACACCACCGAGCACATGCGGCCACCGCCCTGGGAGAACGGGGGAACTGTATAGCTCGCCCGCATAATAATACAATTTTCCTGATTTCATGAATTTTTCCATGAAAATTTAATTTTTTTTTTGATGGGCGTTGTTTTACAAAACCGCACCCTGTATTTCATTTTTCACTTACGTACTGTAAACTACAATTAAAAAAAAACTTATTGTTGATCTTGTTCAACAGTAGTTTCAAGTAAAATGGAGCATAGGGCGACATTTTAGCCAATGTCTGTGTATCAAAATTTTAAGACAATAAATATGAAAGCAACTATCGTAGTCAATAAAACAAACTACCTGCCTACTTTAGTTAATTTTAAACAGACTATAATAAACTAATTCTAGATAATAATAATAAAAGTCCAACCTTTCGTCCGAGTTCGACCATCTGAACCACGTAGGGGGCGGACGCTCGCAATGAAATAACTATGCGAGTGACCAACAGGGCTATGGCAAACCCATCAATTTTTATATGGAGCGTAATAAATGTGGATATCGTTTGCGGTCGCTGCCCGGGGGTCGCCGGGGCACATCTGGGGCCGGTGCTGGATGTGGCAGCATGCGGACCATCGGCGATGAGGAGTTGAACAGGCGGACTCCCGTCGAAGAATATACTACAGCCGAAGACAGCGAGTCATCATCATCTTCCTTTAATGACAAGGCTAGCATCCCAGCTAGTGACTCAACAAGTTTTTCTTCCGCCGAAGATGTTGTGCAGTTGGCTATTAATGCTAAACAATCTGCACCCGCTAAGGCTGGACAAAAGACACGCAAGAGATGGACAAATGATATGAATAAATTTATCTTGCGGTCTTACTTTATCAACACCAAACTAGAAACTGACACTCGCAGATATCTGCAACCAATACACGACGAATTCATAGCAACCTTCCCAGAAATGGGAGTTACTAGGCAGCGGTTAGGAGACCAGCGTAGGGCAATAATTCGCAACAAGCTGCTTAATGAAGACGAAATCAATAACATTAGGACCGAAGCCGAAGAATATTTACGCGATAACGGTAGTACAATTACATCTAATAGTCAGGGTAATGAAATAGGACAGCGAAAGAGATGGTCTAATGACGTAAATGAATCTATTATACGAACTTACCTTAAAATTACCCAAGGAGAAAGGGACAAAACAACGTACAGGCAAAGTTTGCATAGGATTGTTACAGAGTTGCACCCCGAGTTAGGAAATGTGACGGAACAGAGAATAGCAGACCAACGACGAGCTATAATAAAAAATAAAATGATTAGTGAGGCCCGGTTAGAACAAATAAGAAAGGAAGTAGAATTTGATGGACAGGATAATAGGATTCTTATAAATAACAACAATAATAACAATGCTAATTCACAATTTAGTACACAGACACAGACTTCATTCCCCCTACCAACAGACTCACAAATAGATGAATCAGGCATAACGACTGGGTACACTTCGTTACCAGGATCTACTTCAACAACTAATGTAGAATATTCAACTATAGAAGAAATAACAATAATTAATAATGACACAACAAATACACAGGAAGATTTAGGATCTAACGCAGGCAACGAAGAAGTTAATCAGGTTAATTTAAAAATAGATAGGACTTTTTCACAGGCATACGAATTTTTTATTAATACAGAACCTACACACAGACAAAAAATACCTAAACAAAGACCATCTAAAAAGTTAGCTATTACAGTAAAATATATAAATGATATAGTGTTACCGNGAAGCGTTGAATGGCGCGCCCGGAGAGGCTTAGTTCAAACGATCATTGCAAACGTTGTGATAGGGATAGAGACATGCGATTTTTGGTTATACAAAGGTAATACGATAGAGAATAATACAAAGTAATAAAAACTACGTGTTATAGGGGCATTTTTTGGAGAAATTTATCAAATAACCAAACAAACACGAATTTAAAAGCAATTTTTTTTCAAAAACTGACATTTTTTATTATTTGTTGGCATTTTTTGTGTATTTTATGTATTTTTTTAGTATTGCCTGTTATTTAGCATTATTACTGTTTTTATTTTATCAGGATATAACGCTTAGTTTAAAAGTTATTACGTTTTCTTTACAATAAGTAATTGGAAGAAAAAAAATTCTATAAAAAAATTAAAAAAATCTCAAAAACTTTTTGACCTCTTTTTTTTCGATAAAAATAGGTCTAGTTTCATTTATTTTCATATGTACACTTTAACGTGACTCACACTGTATATCGATTGTGCCACAATACATACCGTTTTACATTCATCACAGCTCCACCCGGGCAGGGCGCGTTTTTCAGCTTTCTTCCTCACTGTTGGCTCTTTGTACACGGGCTCCACGGGAAGTTTTCTATGAAATAAACGTAGTACGTTAGATTGATCCAGAAGTCGGTCATTAAGGCTTAAAAACAGTATCGCACTGATAATGCAACAGTGTTACTACAAAAAACGTAGGTATTAGGTATTTATAATAATAATAAATAAATAATATCACAAGCTTACAGACTGCTTTATATTGTGCTGCGTGGACTGCAGCGAAGAATAACGGAGCTAAGTTGGAACTACAACAAGAAGAACAACAACGGAGAAAGGGTTATAATAAGCCAAGGTGGCAGGTTAGGCTAGAAAGGAAAATAGAGAAGCTGCGAGTAAAAATAGGTAGACTGACTCATTATATACAAGGTAATAGAAGTGACAAACTGAATAGATTCATAGATGAAATAGTTAAGAATAATAAAATACATACAATACACGAGTCACCTAACACACACTTATCTCACTTTTTAGACACATTAAAACAAAAATTGGCAATTGCTAATAGTAGATTAAAAAGATATAAAACGTGCACACTCCGCAAATCTCAAAACTCTCAGTTCAAATACAATGAAAAGCAGTTTTATAGAACGATCCAATCAGAATCATCCAATCTCACAACCAACACCAACCATGCAGATAAACCACAGGCAGAAGAACTAGAAAGCTATTGGTCAAGAATATGGGAAAACCCAGTTACACACAATTACGAAGCCCCCTGGATTGATAGTGAGAAGAATAGAACCCAACAAATAGAGCCAATGGATTTTGAAATGGTATCAATAGAAGTATTCCAAAACGTTTTGAGAAAATTACATAATTGGAAAGCGACTGGGACAGATCAAATTCATAATTATTGGATAAAGAAATATATATATCTACACCCCTTCCTCCACAATTACATAAACAGGTTCATACAAAACCCGCAAACTATGCCCGAATACATAACTACAGGAATTACATATATGCTACCTAAGGACCCAAATGATCTTTCCAATCCAGCCAAGTATCGACCCATTACCTGCCTGCAAACAATATACAAAATAATAACAGCCTGCCTTACGCAAATGATTTACAAACATATAGATACATTCCAAATTCTAACAGAACAACAGAAAGGATGCCGTAAACTCAGCCAAGGATGCAAGGAACAGTTGATAATAGATTCGGTGGTATTACAGCAAGTTCAAAGAAGGAAAAAAGACTTATTTACTATGTACATCGACTATAAAAAAGCATATGATTCAGTACCCCACTCATGGTTACTTAAAGTACTTGAAATCTATAAATTACACCCTCAGATAATAAGCTTTCTTGAAACATCGATGAAGAACTGGAGCACCAAACTAAAACTTAACACTGCAGATAACACAATAGAAACCCAACCTATAAAAATCCAAAGAGGCATATTTCAGGGAGACGCATTGAGCCCTCTTTGGTTCTGCCTTGCCCTCAACCCCCTCTCAAATCATCTTAACAGTATAGATACAGGATATAATTTTTATTACCACAACAACAATAATATAGAGAATACTTACGAATTAACGGATACTAAATTAAACCACTTGTTTTACATGGACGATATCAAACTCTATGCATCGAATGAGGATGATCTACGTCATCTGGCTGAAGTCACAGAAAATTACACAAAAGATATATGCATGGAGTTTGGTATCGACAAGTGTAAAATCAATTCTATAAAAGCAGGACAAAACTATAAACACACATACCGCCTTGAAACCGGAGAGCAAATAGAAGCACTAGAAGAAAATGAAACTTATAAATACCTCGGTTATAATCAATCTAAACAGATACACCAGAAGAAAACCAAAGAAGCCCTCATACAAAAATTCAAACACAGATTAAATATCACACTTAAAACACAATTATATGCAAAACATACCATCAAAGCTATTAACACTTTCGCTATCCCTATTCTCACTTACTCTTTTGGTATCATAAAGTGGACTAATTCAGAACTCAAAGGTTTACAACGCAATATTAATACTACAATGACAAAAAGTAGGAAGCATCATCCCCGATCTTGCATTCAAAGGCTGACTCTCCCTCGAAGTGAGGGAGGAAGAGGTCTTATTGATATAATAAATCTTCACAACAAGCAAATATCTAATCTCCGTTCTTATTTCCATGCCAAAGCAGAAACATCGCCGATACATGCAGTAATTACATTGAATGATCAACGTTTAACGCCCCTTAATTTACAAGATAGAAATCTACAGAAAAATGAAAAACTTACTGACAATAAAACTAAAATTGCTGAATGGGCCCAGAAGTCGCTACATGGCAGACATCGCAACGACTTAAACCAAACAAACGTCGACAAAGATGCGTCGAACGAATGGTTAAGTCGAGGCGAGCTGTTCCCAGAGACGGAGGGTTTTATTTTAGCCATACAAGACCAAGTAATAGAAACCAGAAACTATCAGAAATATATAATGAAAACCCACAACTTACCCACCGATTTATGTAGAAAGTGCAATAGTTCCTCTGAAACAATCCAACATATTACAGGTGCTTGTAAATCCATAGCTCAAACAGATTACAAACATAGACACGACCAAGTTGCCAACATCATTCACCAAAAATTAGCCGTAATGTTTAAACTTTTGCAAGGACCCCCAGTAGCATATTACAAATATACCCCCTTAACAATTATAGAAAACGACACCCATAAATTATATTTTGACAGAGCAATATTAACTGACAAGACCACGCACTATAATAGACCAGATATTACAATTATTGACAAGCTTAACAGAACAGCCCACCTCATAGATATCGCAATACCAAACACCCACAACCTACAATCAACGATAGGTGAAAAGTTAAGCAAATATATTGACTTAAAAGAAGAAGTAAAATGTATATGGAAATTACAGAAAGTTACTATAGTCCCAATAGTTCTGTCTACAACCGGAGTCATACCTAAACAGTTACATCAGTCCCTGCACACCCTCAATCTTCCAAAACATACATACATACAGCTACAAAAGGCTGTCATACTTAACACATGCCGAATAGTTCGAAAGTTTTTACAGGTAGATGAAATAGTTCAAATCCGCCCACCTTCAGAAGGACAAAGAAGAATTGTTTCACTTCAAAATACTACCAGAGATAGCACAATATGTTAACAAACTAAATTCATTTATTTATTTCCTAAGTTATATTAAATCTTAACTAGATAGCACTTGGCTTTGGCCCGTGCTATCCGGAATACCAGCTACCTATTGGCTGAGATAAAAAAAATATATAAAAAATAATAATAATAATAATTTATTCATCAAAATAAGCAATAAAGGTAGCTTGGGGTCATTGGATGAAACTCTATGTGCTCGTCGACCGGATTTTAGCTACAGCGCGTGTCCTAGCTCAGCCTACTGCCGTACCTGGCCAGATACACGTTGTTCCGCCACTCGAGCTTCATCTTCTTGTACTGGCTGCTCTTGGTGTGCACGAACTGCTTGGAGTAGGGGCAGGCGGGGTGGTCGGAGGGCGAGGGCGGCGCGGGCGTGGGCGTGGCCGGCACCAGAGAGCGCGTCACGCGGCGCCACGCCCCTTTACAGCGAGGCTCGCTTCGAGCGCAGCCCGATGGATTCACGCAGAGACCGCCTTCGAGGAGCGCGGAACGACCGAACTTGAATCGGTAGTCCGTCAGCGTTTCAATGCCTGCGAACGCGAAACGGTTCGAGCGCGGGTGTTTTGTTTTACGGGAGATTTGTAGTCAAATGACATGGGAACAAGACTGAATAGTATGTAAATAAAGATACTCTGGAATATTGACTAACTATCGAATTTATTTAATATAGGTACGCGTGTTAATCTAATGTTAGTAAATGAGTTGATGAAGCCAAATGCAACGAAACAATTTTCAAAGAGAAATATTAAAATATGTAAAATACAATTTAAATTTTTTTTTCATTTGTTAAACATTGCTAAGTTTGAATGAAGATGGTAATGTAGTTTTGGAATTTATAATTCAACTAACCTGGCAAGCTTTCTAGCACCCTGACGACGGCCGGCTCGGTAAGGCCGAATAGATCTTCTCCCGTGACGTAGTTGGGCCACAGCTTCAGCACTCCGTCTTCGCCGCGGTTTTCTCGTAACGCCGCTACTGCATCCAGAACCTAAATCACCACAAATTGCAATTAATCTCCAGTTTGTCCCTAGATAGGCGGTTCGCATTTTAGCGTGATCTGAATGGGTTGGAGTAAGAAGATAATTACAAATCACGGGCGAACGCGAGTGACGAAGCACGAGTTTTTGTGACGTCAAACGTCAACGAGACTTCAGATGTGCTTCAAACTTGTACGATTTGTCACGTCTATGTCACCGCTGTGCCGCTCTTATCGGCACATCACCCAGTAGAGGNTAGAACAAGAGGCGGGACCTATACAGGCGCGCGTTACGCTATATCACGGACTACCCGCCGGCTGTCGCTAGGCTGTGGATGGACTACGAGCGCGACTACAGAAGCTTGGACACTACGGGCGAGTGCTACGACGTGTGCGAGGTAAGTACTCGTAGCGGTTGCTACGATCTGTAGCAATAGAATAAGAGGCGGGATCTATAAGGCGCGCGCTACGCTATATCACAGACTACCCGCCGGCTGTCGCTAGGCTGTGGATGGACTACGAGCGCGACTACGGAAGCTTGGACACTACGGGCGAGTGCTACGACGTATGCGAGGTAAGTACTCGTAGCGGTTGCTACGATCTGTAGCAATAGAATAAGAGGCGGGATTTATACAGGCGCGCGTTACGCTATATCACGGACTACCCGCCGGCTGTCGCTAGGCTGTGGATGGACTACGAGCGCGACTACGGAAGCTTGGACACTACGGGCGAGTGCTACGACGTATGCGAGGTAAGTACTCGTAGCAGGTACTACGATCCATGCTATGAATTCCAGCAATAGCATGTGTACGGTGAGACAACTATGATATGACGCGAGAACGGACACATTAACATGTGTGAGCTATGTGTGCTACGAGACACTTCGTATCCGATAATAATACACAGCCTGACTGCCAACTACGAGACATAAAACTTGGAAACAAAGCCGCTATTGTATTGCTACGGGATTTCTTTGGTGTGAAACTCTTAGCAGATCTATGTATTCATTATCTATGCTATGAATTATTGTGTTTTTTATTGTTTCAGTCAAAAATCCACGAATGGCGCGAATCTTACCAGGCGATGAAAGAAAAAATGATGGGCAAGAGGCAAAAAGGCAAACAACCGGACAAAAAGTCGAAATACGACAAGAAAAAGAAGGGTAAAGAAGAGGAACAACCAAAGAACAAAGCCAAAAGGAAATCAGACGATCGTGTTGGGGGCACAGAGAGAGAGTTGAAGAGAAAGAGGGAAGATGATAAGAAAGTGGAGAGTGGGAAAAAGATGGAAGCTACGGCTTCGGGCAGTGGAGTCAAACGACCGCACGGCGACGAGGACAAAAAGGATGGTACGTATTGTTGTTATATTATAAAACTAGCTGACCCGGCGAACTTTGTTCCGCCTTAATGGCAGTAAATAAGCAGACTTTTTCTTTAATTTCGAACGGGATAAAAAGTATCCTATGTCCTTCTCCTGGCTCTAAACTACCTCCCTGACAATTTTCAGCTAAATCGGTTCAGCCGTTCTTGAGTTATAAGTGAAGTAACTAACACGACTTTCTTTTATATATATAGATATGTATTATGTAATCTACCGTGATGTGGCTTAATTATATTCTATTCTAGCGGCATGCTCTTTCACCATAAGGCGATGCTGTAGCATTGAATATGTAGGTATATGGTAAAATAATAATTATCCATCAAATGTAGGTATTTCAATTTCCGAAAAAAGTTTAAATAGTAAATAAAAATATTTACTATTGTCTCTACTTCTAAGATTTTTGATGTGTTAATGGGACTGAATAATAAACACATAAGAAAACCTGAAGACCCTACACGTTTGAGAGTTTATTAAATTGTTACATCTCTTGAGAATTAACGATGGCACACCGAATATAAACAACCTATTATTTTGCAACTAAAATGTACCTACAGTCTAATCCACTGGCATCTCTACTTTCGACATAACATCAGACCACAAACGTTTGTTGCAAAATAGCACCTATTACCACAACATAAGACGTTACTAAATAAATAATGTTTTTTAACAGAGACTGAGAACAAACGCCAGAAGACTGAAGAGTCGAGCAGCGCGCGCGCCGCCAGCCGCGAGGCCTGCACGCTGTTCGTCAGCAACCTCGAGTTCAAGTGAGTTTGTACACGATGTCATAGGCAATAAGGTTGTTTTTTACGAGATTTGGTTTAGCCGCAAGCCGCAATCTCTTCGCCGGCAACCTCGAGTTCAAGTGAGTTTGTACACAATGTTATAGGCAATAAGGTTGTTTTTTTACGAGATTTGGTTTAGCCGCAAGCCGAGATGCCGCAATCTCTTCGCCGGCAACCTCGAGTTCAAGTTAGTTTGTACACAATGTTATAGGCAATAAGGTTGTTTTTTACGAGATTTGGTTTAGCCGCAAGCCGCAATCTCTTCATTGGCAATCTCGAGTTCAAGTTAGTTTGTACTTTATGCTGTAGAGAATAAAGTTGTTTTTTTGTTGCATGAGCTAGTTAAAGTTAAGGCTTGGTTCAGCCGCTAGATATGCACGCTGTTCGTCAGCAACCTCGAGTTCAAGTTAGTTTGTACTCTATGCTGTATGCAATAAAGTTGTTTATTATTTTGCACGAATTCGTTCAAGCATTCGTTAATTCAAAATAGATTGTCTTGTTTAAGGAAAGTTGTAATTATGTTTGCATTATTTCTAAAGGCTTGTTCAGGAACATTATTGTTGTCATCATACTCTTGGGCATCGCTTAGGAGAATCTAATATTATGCAGCAATTCATTCAACCTTATTCCATGTCCGCACCTAAAGATGGTATTCAAAATATGAAAATCTGTTCTTATTCATTCACAAATCTAGAACAGTTCTAAGTTGAAATAGCTGTATACTAAATATCTTTGTATTTTTCAGAGTCGATGAAAACAAACTCCGGGACACATTGTCAAAGTACGGCGACATCGTGTCGCTACGAGTCAAGACTGGCGTCAAGGCGTTCGGCGGCTCCATCTGCTACTGCCAGTACAAAACAGTGGTATGTGCGATTATGAACCTTATCGACTAGTGTGTTTCGACTTGTAACTGGAATGGATGGCCAGTGTATAACCAGGCCTGTCTATTTCTTCGTATAGGCATAGAAAAGATGCCAGCATGGGCATAGGGCAAGACCTTCTAGCGCAAATCACTTAGTCCACGATGAATCACTAGATAAGGCATATATTAGCATGTTAGTCTATTTATTTAACTGAACAGGAATCCGTCGACGACTTTTGCCTTATCCAAAGCCTTCTTCAAATATAATTAGCACAAATTGATACCCTATTCATAACCAGATTAAGCATACATTGGCATTATAATCTCGTAAATTATTCTATTATTGTTATTTTTATTGTTGATGTTTTTTGTAGGTTTTTTTCAGTGCCAAATAAATGTTATTCTTTCTTTCTTTCTATTCAACAGGAGTCCGTTGATGAAGCCCTAAAACACGACCGGTCACCTCTAGAGGGCAGGCCCATGTTCCTCTCCCGCTATTCCTCCAAGAAGGGCAAGGCTTCCTTTAAGTACTCCACGGCCCCTGAGAAGAACAAGCTATTTGTGAAGAATCTACCCTACACGCACTGTACTAAGAAAGCGTTGACTGACGTGTTTCAACAGTTCGGCGCGCTGAAGGACGTCAGGATTGTCACTTTCAAGTAAGTTTTGTTGGAGATATTGCCAGTGGTGCCAAATTGCACCGTTTAAAAATTCTACTCATGTGTAGTTTTTATGGTTATTATTCGCCTTTAAACTGAGATGTGATTACGATAGCTTCTTAAAACCTGCTTATATTAACTTCATAGATCCATATAAAAGCAATAGAACTAAAGCACCTAAAGCACAAGTGTTTTATTGTTTAGGAAATGAAGCTCTAAACAGAGTATGCTTACAACAAATTAAAAAAACAAATGTACCTATGTTTTTTGAGTGAAAATAAGATCAAGAGCTTCTCCGTTAAGGTTTAAAAAAACAGATTTTAGTCGTGAACGGGCATAGACATTCTTGTTTTTATAGTCTGGTCTGTGAGCACGTAGAATTTTGTCCAATGACCCCAAGCTACACATCCTTATCGCTCGCGCGTAATTATATTGCTGTCGCGACTATGCGACGGGCGCCCGCAGTGTGTGTGCGAGCGCGACAGCAACATAATTACGCGCAAGCGATAAGGATGGGTAGCTTGGGGTCATTGGACAAAATTCTACGTGCCCACAGACCGGGCTTTAGATCTTAAAATGCAATAACGTTCAAAATATGATGGGAATTGCCATTATCTACATGTGCACCATCTTTTCAGAGACGGCAAGCCAAAAGGCCTGGCCTACATAGAGTATGAAGACGAGGCGTCAGCTGCGAAAGCGCTAGCGGAGACAAACGGATCACTGATGGGCGAGAGGACCGTCGAAGTGGCCTTCAGTGCGCCGCCGCCTAAAGACAAGGATCCTGCCTCTGCACCCACGCTCGGGCAGCCTAAACGGGAGACTGGGAAGGGCATGTAAGTACAAGAGTCGTATGTAAAAGCGATTTTGTTGACAGCACCAAACTAAACACTGCGGCATCTTAGGGGGCGTCCATAAATTACGTGAGACAATTTTGGCTATTTTTCAACCCCCCCGCCCCCCTTGGTGAGATTTGGTGAGATTTTGCCTGACCCCCTCCCCCACCCCCAAATCTCACGTGATATTAAAAAAAATCCGAAATTTAATTAGTTTTGGAGTAATATTAAACATTTTTTTTGTGTGCTTTAACGTTGTTGCTAACGAGTGCATCAAAAAGATATACAGTGTGAGTCACGTTAAAATGTACATATGAAAATAGATGAAACTAGACCTATTTTTATCGACAAAAAAGAGGTCAAAAAATTTTTGAGATTTTTTTTTAATTTTTTATAGAATTTTTTTTCTTCAAATTACTTATTGTAAAGAAAACAGGGTTCGAAAATATCCGATATTTATTATAAATATCAAAATATCGGATATTTATGATATATATCCGATATATATCAACTTTGATATATATCAATTTTGTATGAAAGCCATAGTATTATTTTATTGTATTATTCATGAATACTATTGCATATGTGTTACATAAACATGTTTTTAATGTTTTTAAAACTGAAAATCAGACAAATAAAGCAAAAACATAAAATATCTTTGTAATACGGCAAAATCAACTAAAAAAATAAAAATCTTTTGTCAAAAAGTACAAATACAGTAACAAATTTTAAAAGCTGATATATATCATCAAAACCGGCTTGATATATATCGGATATATATCAGATATATATCTTGATATATATCCCGTGATATATATCCTCGAACCCTGAAAGAAAACGTAATAACTTTTAAACTAAGCGGTATATCCTGATAAAATAAAAACAGTAATAATGCTAAATAACAGGCGATACTAAAAAAATACATAAAATACACAAAAAATGCCAACAAATGATAAAAAATGATACTTTTTGAAAAAAATCTGCTTAAAAATTCGTGTTTTTTTGGTTATTTTATAAATTTCTCCAAAAAATGCCCCTATAACAGGTGGTTTTTATTACTTTGTATTATTTTCTATCGTATTATCTTTGTAAAACCAAAAATCGCATGTCTCTATCCCTATCACAATATTTGCTATGATCGTTTGAACAAAGGCCTGCCACAACATTATTCTCCGCTACAGATAGAGACAATTTTAATTTTAACTAAAATGCTTATTTTACTTCGAAATCTTTTGTTTTTATTTGAAATCTAACTTGTCTTTATCAAAATTACAAATCTAGAGCCATTTTCAGTTTTGTTGTTAACGAAGCGTTGAATGGCGCGCCCGGAGAGGCTTAGTTCAAACGATCATNATAAAAAAAAATAATAATAATAACATCTTAAGAAGCTCTCGCTAGATGGTTGGCTCAAGGGTCAGATTCAAAAGGCGGTGATCCTCAGCACGGCACGCATTGTCCGGAGGTTCCTCAGCCTGTGACCCTGACCACCGGTAGCCTGGGCCCTGCTCCGCTGCCAGCGGGTTAACTATTTTTAAGATTTTTGTTTTTATAGTGTATTTTTATTTTTTGATAATAATTACATTGTAAAAAGAAAAAATTAAAAATAAGAAAGTAAGATGAATAAAGGAATAATAATAATTTATTTAGGTGATCTATTATGACTTGCATAAACGCATTATCCACAAAAAAAAACACAAACGAAAGTGGAATTTTTTGTGAATATTTTCCGTGCGAAATCAATTGTACGAGCTACTTAATCAACTCCCTAAATATGGCGAGTATTGAAATCAACACCCTGTATTCATCACTACATTTCCCTTGATTGCTCACAAAACCACTTACGTCATTAAAAAAAAATAGTAGCAATAAATACCTTTTAGCCTTGTCTTCAGGAGACACCTTAGCCGCCTTAGGTTCCGGGCGAAGCAGTGACATGCTCGCATCGGTTTCGTTAAGCCCTTGCATGTTCAGTATGTTCTGGTTTTCGCCAAGAGGACTCTTCGACGGGCTGTAAAAAGTTTAAAATTGTTAATTCACGTTATAAGAACTATTCTTTCAATGAGGGCTATCGTTTTAGCGCTCACCAGTTGGCGCCACTGTAGAGTAAGGTCCTGTCACTTGCTAGTAGCGAAGACAGTGGCGCCAGCTGGTGAGCGCTAAAGTGGTATAGATGACCCAGGCTGAACTGTCCCGCCAAACTCAATGACAGGGGGGCGCTACCATCGTTCAACTTTATGGTTTCCAACATGGCAAAAATCGGAACCANAATAAACGCAATTTTCAGTGCGACATACGCACAACCTATAATGACTTTTCATGCAAGTATAGTAGAGTCAGACTTTAAATCAAATTAAAATATTAATTGTATTCATAATGATTGTAGTATTAACACATTTTTCAGTTTCAGTAATCTACTAATATCATAGACAATTTCTTGTTCGTTTGTTCTTCAAAATGTTGAAACCCGTATCATTAAAAAACTTGAGTCCAACTTAATAATAGGTTCAAACCTGTGATTGGTTAATTTTAATATTGAGGAGACCAATCACAAAAATTAATGTTCACATCATGTGTAGGTAATTTTATAAAATACCAGCTAACCCGGCGAAATTCGTACCGCCTATGTTCATCAGAAATAATGTAGTGTTCTAATGGTGAAATAATTTTTCAAAACGGCTGGATCGTACTTTCGGAGCCTAATTTAGTTAAAAAAAATCCTCTTTTTAATTTATTAGCGTAGAAGATCTGTGATGATTTTTCCATGTTAATACTAAATAAATGAAACTATCAAAGAAAAAGATTCATAGGGTAGTTTGTTAATACGGGTCTAAATGACGCAGTTATTTTTCTTATAATTTGATTGGTTATCTATGGTGTCAATAGTGACACACTCTTTTGACGTCATGTGCAACGCTCTGTCATTTTTGGCGCCAATACAGATAAGCGGTAGACATCCTGCATTTTAGGTAAACAAATTGCTAATGTAAGGTAAATAAATCATAATAACTAGGTACTGTTAGTAATTTGGCCAGTAAAAATAGATTTTCTTTTGTATCGTTAAGCAATTTTCCTAATCAAAACATCAGTTTTCAGTAAGGCCTTATCGTTAGACATAACACTAGCCAACTTGGCAAATTTCGAAAATTCTGTAGCCTATGTTCTTCTAGGATTCGAATAGTGAAAGAATTTTTCAAATCGGTCCCGTAGTTTCGGAGCTTATTCAATACAAACAAACAGTCAAAATCTTTCCTCTATAACATTAGTATAGAAGTAAAGATTATGAAAGATTTTTATGTCTCAAACTGCATTGGAATTAAAAATAAGCAGATATCGTTAGGATATCCGGCGATGAAAGAATAATCACGGTTATTTTTAAACGCGTTTAGTTTTCATTCAGGATGCCTTCAAGATTATTGTCTTTGGTTCTTCGATTGGTTTATAGCAGTTCAGTTTGTCTATTATGCTTTTTATTCTCGAATTACGAATGATCATTATAATAATAAATCAATCGATCATAGTAACTATTATCCGCTTGAATTTCATTTTGTCACAGAAAAACTGACTTACTTGACACTTATGTTTGTAATTTGCCAATTATTAAGTCAATATAGTTATAATTTATAGCCTATACGTTATTCTGATGTAAAAACAATAATATTGTACCTAAAGTTTCATCATTATCCGTTCAGTAGTTTTTGCGTGAAAGTGCAACAGACAAAATCACAAACTTTCACATTTATAATAAACTCGTACTTAGTACATCATAGTAGGACTTAGGTGCACGAACATAAGTAATGAGAAATAATATTACCTACTTCATTGAAATACAATTTTTAAGTCGGTTGCAGACTAATAAAAACTTTGATAAGCACTAATTTGGAAAATAAACGCAGTTCAATGATGAACTGCTTCCTGATAACCTCTGCCAGAACTTAAGTAATTAAACAGTAAAAATAAATCTTATTTTTTACTGATTAGTCTTGTATCTGTCATTTACAAGAAGGATACAGATACCACATATTTTTTTGTATTATTAAGTGTAGGCCCTAAAGTTGATCCTTGTTTGCAAGGAAAATACTGATTAGAAATGCATTAAAACTATTAATTAATTTACGATAAACATACTAACAAGGAACATACATTATTATATTGTTTATGTAATATTGTATAGTTATCAAAAGGCCAGTTGCCTAATTAATTTTACGTAACGCAAATAAGTCTTAGTAGGTACCAAACGCTTCAAAGAAATCTTTAATTATCTTCAAATAAATAAACAAGTATGCATTAACACGTTGCGCGCCACACGGCCCACCGGTGAGCCTAGTCGACTTTTCCATTCGGGCCAAGCCAAAATCACGTAATCGGTCATTTTTGACAACTTCTAATTTTCATTCCAGTGTTTATAAAATGCCATAATTCGCGCAGAAAATAAAAATCAGCGACTTCTACCGTGTAGTTTTAGCAATATAACAAAAGGCTCACCGGTGGGTCGCGAAGCCCCCTGGGAAAGAATCAAGAATTTCCGTTGGCGGAGGCCACGGGGTCACGCCGCGGCTCACCCCGCGCGCCTGTGCGTTCATAACTTTGAAAAAGTGTACAAAGAAGAGTGGTCATTTATGACCCAAGCCCGACACAAAAGATGCCATTGTTTTGTAATTTTCAGTGCAACATAAATATGTAATTTTTATATGAAATATTAGTGGCGAACATATAAATATGTAGCTTTATTTATTTTTGAAGCGCAGACTGAAAAACATATTTTCCATCTAATTTACTAGAATGCCCATCGAGTTTTTATGTTCATGTAAGTGTCTATGTACTGCATCCACAGAAAAAGTCCTAACTCAGCATCGTACTTGGCATCAGAATTAGGTAGGTTTAAATTCCAGCACGACGAGCTAGGAAAACTGTTCGAACGCATAATAGCATCTCGCATCGTTGAGCACTTGACAGAAACGGGACTTCTCTGAGGTAGTCTTTATCTGAGGAATCTGTTGACCAACTACCTCTCAAGCCGGGAGATCTTCGATGGTATGGCGTCGAGTTAGGTGTTCCGGGTCTACTCAGTTCTGGCACCAAATCTTGTGGATATACAACTGGGTCCTACGCGGCGATCTCTGTCCCTCCCGGTCATGGACATCATTGTAACTGCCCGTGGGAGGAACTACAACGAGGCGGCCTGCCTAGTCTGCCTATTCGCTGCAGGTGGCACGATAGTCGCCAGTAGTGTAAATAAATAATATTATGACGTCTGGAGCTCGGGGAGGCTCTCCAGAACCCAATCTCCCTGGCCGAGACGTAGATGTATGCGGCCTAGACGTAGATGGATGCGGATCCATGTACGTCTAGGCCAGGGAGACTGGGATCTGAGACCACCTTGCCATCACCGAGTCGGACACAAACCGAACCCTAGACGCGCTTGAGCCAATCAAAGAGAGGAGAGTATGCGGGTACAAATATTTCAGCTCATACACAAATTGCTTACATATTACGGTTAGCACTGCCTTTTATAAAGCCTCCCTTAGCAAACAAAAGAACCTTATGGGTTGAGTGACCACAGAATACTTGACTTAGTGCTCAGACAGAAAGGTTTTCGACGGGCTTCGTTACTGAAAAATCGTTTTATCTTTGAATGTATTATCAGGGAATATCATTTGAATGAACCTAAACTCTATCCATCGAGTTTAGGTTCATACTAGAAGTAGTTGAAAAAAACCGGCCAAGTGCGAGTCGGGCTCGCACACCGAGGGTTCCGCCGTACAAACGTAGCGGTTTACAATTTATGANCTAAATAACTGTTCCAATTAGTAGATCACTTGCAGGTGGGAACTCAATGCGGTTTGAGCGATCTGATCAGTCGCCAAACAAAACCTTCACGCAACCGCATTGAGCATGAACAAATTACCATTTTTTACGCCGCAGGCGCTGTACCGCCTGAAAAAAATTGTGCAGTGGAACCCGAATAATGCCTTAGCACGACGTGCAAATGCGATGTTGCTGCTGGCACAAGGGAAGCCAAAAACCGAAATCGCGGCGCTATTACAAGCAGCACGGTCGAGCATAAATCGTTGGATTTATTGGTATCTTGACGATGGTATTGATGGTCTACAAGCCGATTTACCCGGCAGAAAAGTACGGTTTGAACCGGAGTTTATCGGAAAATTACTGCGCTTTATGGTCGGGATCCGACCTCAGGAACTTGGCTACCAGCGCTCGCGCTGGAGCAGTGAATTGCTCAGTATTGTGCTGCGAGAAACGCTCAATATTGTGCTTCACAGCTCGACAATCCGGCGTTGGTTGCCTAAGCACGGCATCGTCTGGCGACGTGCGGCACCGACGTTGTGTATCAAAGACCCGGATAAAGAAGCGAANTGTACTCGAAGCAGGTATATTGAACCATAGCTAGAGTGTGGACTGACTACGAGCGCGCTTATAAACTAATAATAAGCACTATATTGCTATGAGACGCAAGACGTGCGAGGTAAGTATTCGTAGCGGTTGCTACGATCTGTAGCAATAGAACAAGAGGCGGGATCTATAAGGCGCGCGCTACGCTTATCACGGACTACCCGCCGGCTGTCGCTAGGCTGTGGATGGACTACGAGCGCGACTACGGAAGCTTGGACACTACGGGCGAGTGCTACGACGTATGCGAGGTAAGTACTCGTAGCGGTTGCTACGATCTGTAGCAATAGAATAAGAGGCGGGCGGGATCTATAAGGCGCGCGCTACGCTACATCACCGACTACCCGCCGGCTGTCGCTAGGCTGTGGATGGACTACGAGCGCGACTACGGAAGCTTGGACACTACGGGCGAGTGCTATGACGTGTGCGAGGTAAGTACTCGTAGCAGGTACTACGATCCATGCTATGAATTCCAGCAATAGCCAGTGTACGGTGAGACAACTATGATATAACGCGAGAACGTTCACATTAACATGTGTGAGCAATGTGTGCTACGAGACACTTCGTATCCGATAATAATACACAGCCTGACTGCCAACTACGAGACATAAAACTTGGAAACAAAGCCGCTATTCTGGTGCTACGGGATTTTTTTGGTGTGAAACTCTTAGCAGATCTATGTATTTTTATTATCTATGCTAAGAATTATTGTGACTATTGTTTCAGTCAAAAATCCACGAATGGCGCGAATCCTACCAGGCGATGAAAGAAAAAATGATGGGCAAGAGGCAAAAAGGCAAACAACCGGACAAAAAGTCAAAGTACGACAAGAAAAAGAAGGGGAAAGAAGAGGAACAACCAAAGAACAAAGCCAAAAGGAAATCAGACGATCGTGTTGGGGGCACAGAGAGAGATTTGAAGAGAAAGAGGGAAGATGATAAGAAAGTGGGGAGTGGGAAAAAGATGGAAGCTACGGCTTCGGGCAGCGGAGTCAAACGACCGCACGGCGACGAGGACAAAAAGGAAGGTACGTGGTTTAGTTAGGAAATAATCTACCGTGATGTGATCATTTTACATTCTAGTCTGTGTCAACCATTAGTGTGAAATATTAAATAGATAGTACTGTGTTCCGGCAGTTAAGAGGTGTTAAGAAGATAGCCAGTTCCTCTGTAGTTAAAAAAAAATACGTCCAATGTAATTAAATTTTCACAATGGCAACTATTGTCTGTAGGTTGAAGACTTCCTTTTTTATAACAAACTGTATCCATGGGAAACTATTGAGATACATCTCTTGTGTAAGGACGACGGCACTACTTATAAATTGTTTATCTTGTATTTACACTAGTTATTTTGCAACTATAAGCTTAGGCTGAGTTGCACCAAAGTATAATACTTTAACTTTGACAAAGGTCAAAAATCAGTCAATCTTCATACAAAAAACACCGGTTATTGTCACGGTTAAAATAAGGTGGTGCAACTTATCCTTAATCTACTGACATCTGTACTTTCGACATCACATCAGACCACAAACGTTTGTTGCAAAGTATAACCAGTACAAAAGATGCTAAATGAATAATAAATTTATCAACAGAGACTGAGAATAAACGCCAGAAGACTGAGGAGTCCAGCAGCGCGCGCGCCGCCAGCCGCGAGGCCTGCACGCTGTTCGTCAGCAACCTCGAGTTCAAGTTAGTTTGTATTCTATGCTTTAGGCAATAAGATTATTTTTATAGTGCACGAATTCCTTGTAGCTTAGGTGTGATTTTTTCATAGAAAGAATACTTGAGTTTACCCGTTATTAGCGGTTCTAACTAATATTAATAGAAATAAGAATAGCGGACTGTATTAATATAGGTGCTGTAATTCTCGCCTCCTAACTACAATAATCAAAGAGATCGTGGTAATCGTGCGTCGACTGTGGTGTCCCAAAGCGAGTGCGCGGGCCGAGCGCTACCGATGACGCTGTGGGTTCCTTGGTTACGTACGTTAGTCATCGTTCGCTGCCCGCCTGTCTCCTGCCGCGCGTTGTTGGGTTCCCAACACGTCAATTTTATTTAGCGAAGTTTACATCATAATCTTGAACGAGCTCAGCTTACGAGAATCTATAGTCATTCATTATCCCATTTCGAAGGCTCAATATAATAAGTTGGTTCAGATTTGGATCTTGCAATTTACAAGCCGACAGTCAACTACTTAAATAGAAACACCTACCACAACAAGAAGTAGTTAAATCTTGTTGTATTTTTCAGAGTGGATGAAAACAAGCTCCGGGACACATTGTCAAAATACGGCGACATCGTGTCGTTGCGAGTCAAGACTGGCGTCAAGGCGTTCGGCGGCTCCATCTGCTACTGCCAGTACAAAACAGTGGTATGTGCGATTATGAACCTTATTAACTACTTATATGAGTTTCGTTTTGTGGCGTTAAAAGTTTGTTGATACCTACCCTATTTTTCACATAATGGAGATTTCACACACTTGTTTTTATTTAAACTTGAAATCATAAACCTAAAATACAACATTAATCCTGTTGTCTTTGATTTGCGTATTGTACCTGCATTTAGAGTGACTGACATAATACTGAGTTGCTCATTTCATTTATTCGCTCTTTCACTCACTAAAATGCTCAACCGACCACCTGAAACTTGTTTAAAAAATAAGTCTTGGCTTACTTATAGGTCAAGTACGTGTGTATTCATAATACTGCTAATACTGCTATGTATATATACGATACCTCTATAAAAGCTAGCATTTATTGCAAATGAAAACGCCCCCTAATGAATACCATGTAAGTGTTAAAACGTACACTATCTTATAAATTATTCAACAGGAATCCGTTGATGAAGCTCTCAAACACGACCGGTCGCCTCTAGAGGGCAGGCCCATGTTCCTCTCCCGCTATTCCTCCAAGAAGGGCAAGGCCTCCTTCAAATACTCCACGGCTCCTGAGAAGAACAAGCTATTCGTGAAGAATCTACCCTACACGCACTGTACTAAGAAAGCGCTGACGGACGTGTTTCAACAGTTCGGCGCGCTGAAGGACGTCCGGATTGTCACTTTCAAGTAAGTTTTGTTGGAAATAATATTGTTATAGTGATGAGAAATGCACTACTTCTTGATGTTGAACACTATGTGACAACGTATTGAGGTTAAAACACTTTTTAGCGTTTGTTTTTTAACCTTCATCATCATGGCATTTAGTCTCCCCTGCAATAGGACGACCCTCTTTAATTTACCAGAGGCAAAATGTAGGAATTGGCCTACACTCCCCACTTTGGCCAGACGGTTTGGGAAGTCCTAATTTTCGCATATTTCTCTTATAATCTTTTCTTACGACATCTATAGGAAGAGTAGAGGTGGTCTAATGTTCTCTGCCTCAGACGCATAAGGTTTAAAATGGCAATACCTATATCTGCACAACTTTTCAGAGACGGCAAGCCGAAAGGCCTGGCCTACATAGAGTATGAAGACGAGGCGTCAGCTGCGAAAGCGCTAGCGGAGACAAACGGATCTCTGATGGGCGAGAGGACCGTCGAAGTGGCCTTCAGTGCGCCGCCGCCTAAGGACAAAGATCCGGCGTCTGCGCCCACGCTCGGGCAGCCTAAACGCGAGACTGGGAAGGGCATGTAAGTACAAGCATCTTATGTAGTTGTAACAAGAGCGTTTTTGAAATAATAATGAGAGGAACGTCGAAGTGGCCTTCAGTGCGCCGCCGCCTAATGACAAGGATCCTGCCTCTGCACCCACGCTCGGGCAGCCTAAACGGGAGACTGGGAAGGGCATGTAAGTATAAGGATCTTATGTAGTTGTCATAAGAGCGATTTTACACCAAAAATGTGAATGCTGAGGTCGAAAAACCAAACTGAACACTGCAGTAGGTATATTATGATATGTTAAGTCTGAGGCCCTGTCTTTTGTAGTCATTTGATGTGAAATCATTACCTGTACAATAGTGGGACAATAGTTTTGGTGTTGTCAACTCATAAAAAAGATCTCAAATCACTGGTGCCATCTAATTCCCTCTTCAGCCTGTATAATGTAAGTACATTATTGCCAACAGGAGGCGAACGCAACTCAGCAGCTTTATCCCTAGCGTGCTTCAGAAGGCCACGCCCTCAACCAGCGGAGCCGGCGCCAGCAGTTCCAATGCCAATGGCTCCGCAAACGGCTCCGACAATGGCTCCGACGCCAAGCCATCCATGTCCAACACAGACTTCAGGAACATGCTCCTCAAGAAGTGAACTCGACCCTAGCGCGTAAGGAACAAACCACATTTTTGTATGAGACGATTGTTGCGGTGAAACATACTAGTCTACAGACGGACTTAATTTTATTATCTGCCAATATGATTGTGTTGCGGGAACGATAGACGATTTGTGTAACAATTTTGTAATTTGTAATGCTGCTTACTTACTCATATACTATTTAGATATTTTCTCGTCGTTTGATTCACATCACATACACGTTATATTTCAATTATGGATAGATTTTCTTTTAGGTCGACAAGTGAATTCTTTAGGAAATTAAAATTTTAAACTTATTTTAGGTTTATTTTTTGAAAATTTATTATTCAAAAGGCACTCCACATTTTCTGTTCTGAGTTGATTTCAAAACTTTTTTATTATTTAGTCTGGCATAAGCAAAAAGTTTTAATAATTGTGTTTATTTACTTGAGAATTTTATTATTACTTTTGTTTTGAAGATTTGTTTTAAAAATCTTTGAAAATAGGCTTAATAGTTCTATCATGATGGCAATCCTGGGGTTGTGTTATTCTCTAAACTGATTAATCTATTTCACTTCTTAATGATAGAATATTTCAAAGACTTTTTTATTTCGTTGACTAAATGCACACACTGTTGTTTTCCCGTATAGGTTTTACACCTGGGTGAACAAAGTGGAATAAATCCTCGCGGCCTCATATGGATTGGTAGGCAAGGTAAAAAACTATTTTTTACCAATTTTTCATAGGACCCTTAAACTTGGGAATGCAAATGTATGCAGTATGCACTCAGGAATCTTCAGCTCAACCCCAGAATAATAAGTGAGATAATAAGAGTGCTCTACGTGAACGAGCCTTCACTACCTTTTTTAGTTTAGAGAATGGAACAACAGAATCGCCACCACATTTTTTTTCTATAAAACTGGATAATTACTTACCCCCTTACTAATAAAAAGTTACACAGTTGTTGATCACTGTTTTAAAATGACATTTCCATACTAAACGTCACTTTAAAACACTGTTCAACAAGCGTGTAAGTTTATTAGTAAGAGGGTAACCCCCTTACTAATAAAAAGTTACACAGTTGTTGAACACTGTTTTAAAGTGACATTTCCATACTAAACGGCACTTTAAAACTCTGTTCAACGAGCGTGTAAGTTTTATTAGTAAGGGGGTAAATGTTTATGAAAGCCTAATGGCTGGGCATTACCTCTATAAACGTGTGAGCTAAATATACTAGTTTGTAAGACATTATTATAATGAATACCGTGTTGTATTTACGAATACAGATTTTATTAGTTTTATTTTTTTCGGGAGGTCGTGTTATTTTTAAAAAGACTGGTTTCGTTTGTCAAATTTTAATTTAAAATCTTATCAAAGTGGTTTTTTTTTAAATAATAGTCTATTAATAATAAAGTTTACAGGGTGTGACGGACAGTTTAAAAATTAATAAACCACCTGGCTCCACAGATACATTAAACTTAAAATCTCACGGCATCTTATGTAATCGTAAGCCTGGATGTGCTCGCCTCGTGTTTTAAAATGATTTCATTGTGGCCGAGTACTTACTAAGCGTTCTAAAAACATTTTAAAACTACAATGTATATAATTTATTTACCTCTAAAAATAGCGTCGAATTTGTCCCTTACACCCTGTGTGTTGTCTCAACTACACACCATAATGTACACAGAAATACATAAACAGATATGTTTAATCTGAGAATGGTTAAGATGATTAGTAATATTTATCGGAAAAACGTTTTTGATTTAAAAATAATACCTACATGTGTTTGAAAATATGTTCATAACACTGATTTTGTATGACATAATTCCATGTACAGAACTTTAAAAATAAATAAATACATAGTATTAAGATTTTTTTCCAATTTTCTTTCTAACATAAAATACCTGTTCTTCCGTAATATTCTTCATTAATTAGAATAAATACATCGGAATATTTAACCTAATCAATCCACATTTAGTTTGAACAAAACATATCCATAGTTTCTTAATATAAAAGTACTACATTTTTAACGGAGATAAAAACACAGTTGTAACAAAAAACAATATTTATTTATAAAAATACATTACACTATACATAGTTACATCCTCAATAGAGAATAAATCTTATATACATGCCAGTTCTACAATAAATAAGGTCTAAAAGCATTGCACTACAATAATTCTCTCTTCTAAACAATATTCACTCGAAAATATGACTTTGTACTTTTCACATCAGAGCTAATCACACGACATGAGGCTACTAAATAGTAATTATGTAAATGAAATTATAGCTAGCTCGTTAACAGTCATATAAATTATGTTAATCAAAAATGAACACTAATTTTATGGCCGTAAATATATTTTTGTATAACAAATTGCAAGAGTGCGTATCCTAACATTCGCGCTTGAGTTTTGTGCTGTTATTGTCTTAAAATCGTCAAATGTAATGGGAACGGTGAATATTAAAATGTTAGCAAAATCCTTAAACGATGTCAGTCAGAATATAAAACCATTTAAATTCATAGGCTGAGCAAATTTAAAAGTTTTACTTTAATGATCACACGGAGAACTATAATATGAAATCAAACTGTTTATATTGTGCTTCGTATTGTAACTGGTGTGCATGATAAGGTAAAAACATTATGGTACTTATGGTATGATTCCGTATCCTAATGGACGTTGATATGCAATACTATCGTTAAAACTGTTAGTCAAAAGCACCAATCGTCAATTATATGCTATTAGTTAAAATAACGTTAATAGACAATTGAGCAATTCTCCACACAAACTACCATGAGTTTTGAGAACAAGTCATGTTTTACAAAATAAATTTCTTACAGTCAAACAGAAAATCAACAGATTAGACTACATATATTTAAATAAATTCTCAAAGTTATAGGGATTTATGTATATCTGTTCGTTGATATTGCTAATTATTTTCGTCCAGCTATTATCACAGTTTCGCAGTTATTTCTGACCTTGTTAAATCTTCTATATTTTCAGCTATTGTCTACGTGTATTTGCCACACTAGCGCCTAAAGACGAGGTATTGAGTTACTTTTATGACCGTATGCTATCTGTAAATAGTTTCACAATAAAGTTGTGACTTATCAGACGGCCATAAGAAAGGGCTTTGTGTATTGTCGTCCAGTATACCTACTGCATGGCATCCCGGCGTTGCCTGGCGCGAATGTCTCGAACGATAATGATACGATGTAGAAACATGACGGTTGAATCACACCTGTCAACATCTTTCAGTATTGCTTCAGTTCCATCAAATGTAGTTAAGCTCCTTTCTTGGTGTAAAAAAGTGAATAATTTGTGTAACATTTGAGACGTTGACGAGTGTGTTCAAACGGTATTCGGCTATTGAAAATACTGTCAAAATATCGTTGGTCAGTCGATGTGCTTTCCGTCTTTCCACTTCTTTTTCGACCTTTCGAATGCTTCCTTTATGCACGATCTGGGGAAAAAAGTTATATTTTATCTAACATGATGCATGTGTCGCAAAGTAGTTGAACTGAATTTGAGTTTTGCATTATTATCTGCAACTATTTAAATGTGAGTTAAATTAATAGTAGCTCAGTGTGGCGTGGACGTATGCGACAGGTTAAGAACCACGCGGGTAGGAGCGGGCGCACGCCGCGAACGTGTTTTTTTTTTTAAAGAATATTAGCAATTTGTAAATACAATTACTTATTACCAATTTGCAAGTTTTAGTGTAGGCCCTTAGGCGAAAAATGGGCCTATCGATATCGATAGTTACTGGAAACATTTGTTACCTGAACAGCGACTGGTGCAGTATGTAGGCGGACACATGACCAGCGTCAACGTAGCGCACCTCCACGCCGGGCCAGATCTCTTCCAGTGTCCCAACATCTTCTCGAGGCACGTAGGCGTCGTGTTTCGCGCAAACAGCTGGAGAAGATTATTTGAAAACAGGTAAGTGTCAATAAAATGCTTTTTGTTACAGGTTTAGCGAATAACTGAGTCAGTGCCCGAGTCATGGGAGCAGTACGAGAGGTTTTTGTGACGTCAAATGTCAGCGAGACTTCAGACTTATATACTCTGTCACCCATCCCGTGCCGCTCTCATACTGACTCGTCACACAGTTATAGATGACCCACGCTGAACTGTCCCACCAAACTCAATGACAGGGGGGCGCTACCATCGTTCAACTATATGGTTTCCAACATGGCAAAAATCTGAACCAGCGATCCGGTATTGACGGTGGCGCCCCACTGTCAATGTCATCGACAGGACAGTCCAGTATTTTGGAACTATATGCGCCATAACTGTACGTCATCGGTTTGTACAATGGAAGAGCGAGGTACTCCCAACACAAGTATATTACGATTACTTTCTGGGAGGCCCCGGTTACTTTTTTGTAAAAGATTTACTGATATAAAACATTTATTTATTTTATATTGCGTGATAAGGACACGTCAAATAATTCTATTCGAATCGACAATCATCTACGTTTCATCGTCGTTCTACTTACCAATGATTAAAGAAGTATCATAAGGCACAGAGAAGTTGCTGAGATGCGTGCACTCATCCATGACGCCCCGCATAAACTGCAGTGCCTCTCTGTCCCTCCAGTGTATCTTGCTTATGTCTATCTTCTTCCCGCTCGACCGCAGGAACGGTAAATTCACCCACAAATCTGAAGTAAGGTCCGAAACGTTCCACGACCTTCTGTCAGGTTTCTTTCCTTTGACTGTGGCACTCGCGGTTGTCTTTGGTTCTTCGGCTTTCTGCTCTATGGCTTGTGGTGTTACAGTCTCTTCTTTCTTAGCCTCTTCAGTCGGTTTTTCGCTAACTGCCGCAACCACTTCTTCTTTTGTGTCCAACTGCGGTTCTTCGTTCCTTTTTTGAGTGAAGTTGATCGTTTCTCCCGACTGCTCGTTCATCTCGTTTTGGACAAGAGCTGTAATTCAAACACCACAGATGATATTAAAATCTTTAAGATCATAAATCAAATAAAGTAATGATTAACGAATGATGCTTATTTAGTGTAATCATTCGCATAAATTACAACAAAAGGTAAATCTCCAATCCAAATTGAAGTTTTATCAAACATAAAAGCACTCGAATTTAAGACATCACGACCAGAAAAGTCCTTACCAACTTTAAATTTCAACAACAATTCTTTTATTCTATCTTCGGTCAGTTTGTTTATGTCGGCGATATCTTGCGAATCCAACTGGAATTTCTCGTTGGACATCAGCTTGTCGTACAACACTTGAGTAATTTTGTTTTCTTCTAGCAATTTCTTCAGTTCTTCGTTCATTTGTGCTATTTGCGCTGTACATTCAGACTTTATGACGTTTTTAGGCACTTTGTCGCGTACTTCTATGTTCTTAGTTAGATCAACTACGTCGGGGTCCTTGTCACAATTTGTTTCTTTGTATGTGATATCGAGTTTTTGGTCTGGAGCTGGAGGGATTGTTTCGGTTTTATTGTCTTTTGGTGGCGGTTTGTTGTCTTTGTCGACGGTTTGGGAATAGGAACGCGCGAATTTCTTCCCCGCTAGGAACGCTTCGTCTACAATCGTCACCATTTTGGATAGCTTCTCTCTGTATACGCCGTCTGAAAGGTATTGATCTTCGAGCAAGTCCCAGTTTATTGATTGCGACATCACTCCCTGTAACCATATGCCCCATCATAAAAATATGTCATATTCATAGAAGAATCTATATTATTTAAATCAAAACTTTATAGGGCTAGGTGTATTAGAAGCAACCCCAAAAGTAATACCGATTTTTGACAGACAATAAATACGAATTACGTTGATACCTGCAAGAAAACCGCTGACGCTGTCGACCACGATAGACAAGGAACTAGAACTAAAGGCTTAGGCCAATTCGTAGCTGCCAGTGACGCCATCTGTAAAGTTTGACCTTTTATAACCTCTATACTGCTTCATGCTGTATAAAGTTACACATTTTATAACCCCTATACTGCTTCATGCTGTATAAAGTTATATTTTTTATAACCCCTATAATGCTTCATGCTGTATAAAGTTCACTTTTTATAACCCCTATACTGCTTCATGCTGTTATAGCGTTTTGATGGGGACAAGGGAGATGATGCCATCAGTTTTCATTTCGGGCTAAGTAGCAATGAAATAACACTCTTATTTACAGATAATAGAGTACAAATTAATTTTAAACCGACTTTAACAAAGGGAGGCGGTTCTCAATGCGGTTGGTATTTTTAAATACTTGCACTTCAATAGTGACGTCATTTCGCTGTATTTCCATACTAATGAAGATAAGTCATTTTGACAGGTCACGAAAGACAACTGCAGGGCTACTCTGAAACGCCGCTGTTTACGTAGTTTCGGATATTTGTCACTGTTACTCATGTTGGCATCTAGCTTTGTGTGAGAGGGATGGAAATATACGAACTTCGGATTGCGTTTTTCGGAGTAGCCCCACTGATGTCATCCTCAAGAAGACTAATTCGAAAGAGCTACAACTATTGAAATGATTAGTGATGTGATATAGGTCGATATTCTTACATGCCCACCCATGGAGAGCCCAGTGACGCCCAATGGGCCGAGTCCATTCCGCTCGCACCAGTGAAAGAGCACCAGCGCCTCCAGAATCAGGCACCCGCCCATCACGAATATGTCCGAAACATTGTGGAGGGAAGACCGACTGCAATGAGAAATAGAGAAGGAGCATTTAACTAGGTATGTAATAAATGAAAGGAAAGTGTGAAAATTGAGTCATTAGCCAGTGTAACTTGATATTATTAATGTAACTTCATCATTCTATTAAGAATTTGCTTACAGAAAACCGTTTTACTTTGTAAAGTTATATAAATTACGGTCTTTTATCGGTCATATGAGTTTGGTGTCGATAACCCTTATGATTTAGGATAACGTATACCTACACTGATACTAAAATACGTCATCACTCGATACGCTAAGGGTTGAGTATAGCTTGTGCCTGGACAATATTTTACTATGTACCTACTTTCAAATACTTACACCTGATCGGTAGGTTTCCGTAGCCCATAGAATGGGTTCTCAAGTATGATTCCGCCGATGCCCGCCTCTTTCAGTAATGGTTTCACCATTAAATTTCGCCGTCGCCAAAAAAACTAAAAACAACAGCAACAAACAAAACGTTATCAGTAAGCTGACAATGAACATTTGGTACCTACATGGTACATTTGAGTCTTATTTTAAAGCAACTAACTACCGTTCAATACAATCAAGTTTCGTTCAGATTCATGGCTATACCTACTCTATTACATTAGCAGTACACACGTAATAAATCACATCATAGCATTTAACATTAAACATCAAATACCTAATCAATTTCCTGAACAGTGTGCTAAATATAACACAAAATAAATGAGATGAACTATGTTACTGGTAGATGATAAATATCAACACCTTGCGAACGGAGATCACACATGTCCATTACATAAGTGTAGGTAGGCTAAAGATTAGGCGTCATTTGGTAAATGTTGCCGCTGTACAATGACGCAGGTCGCTTAAATTAGTTTGTAATACTAGGAGGTAATTTCAAACATTTGGCACATAACACCGATATGAGGATGCGTTACTTGAGACGAGTAAAATAGACAAGTAGCTGAGCGGTTCATATACGAGGGAGTGAAGGTATTTTCAGGTTGCTTGCTACGTACAATGAAGCACGCCCGCGCATGCCAGTAGCTATGTGAATTTATCAAACACCCTAAGAGAGCGACGTAGATTCAGTCAAGAGTATTAATGTATTTCAACCCAAATTGCTACTACAGCAAGTGTGCTTAGTGCGAGTTTGCATTGAACGTCGTCGCTAGCGAGTGCGTCAAAAATCTATGAAGATTTTATTTTTTTAAAGTATCTGCTAGAGACGATTGATGTAAACTCGCACCAAGCCCCCAAATAACTACAGGGATTTCGGAATATTATTCAAGCAAGGGTCTTTACAGGATGTTAGTGGCATTACATTTACCTTACATTTCCTAACCCACATGGTTTCACAGAAAAATCTGTAAAAATAATACAAAAATGACACAAAATGCCAAGTTATACAGGGTGGGAAATAAGTTTCTGAACTATTTAATCAAGAAACATAACAAGAAAAAAAGTTATGAATTTATTGTGACTTTCTGAAAACTTGAAATGCTAAATGCCATAAGCCCTCCCTTTTTCTGTCGCCGTAGTAGCAGTAGCAGTAAGATAACTGTAATAGAAAACTGTTAAAACGTGTTATGTAACCTAACCTAACATGTCTTATAAGAGAGCAGAATAAAATAAACGACAGTGAAATCAATCTAAAAATAACATACAATACCCACCCACAAACATGTTCATTTTATCACTATCAATATAATTGGTGTTGGAATACACTATAGACTTGTTTATTCCTACTTCTGGACACAAGCCAATCACTGAATTCGTTGTTTACCGATTGTTTACAATATAAATAAACAAACTAGCTGCTACACGCGGCTTCGCCCGCGCCTTTATTGGTATGACACACAAATTCTTTCTGTATCTTGCAGCCTTTGATAAAACACTACTTATTTAAATAAAATTTTTGTACGAAAGATAGATTCAATCAACTTTCATACCAAAATTTATTAGGATTAAGATTTATGAGTGAAAGGCATAACCAATAAACAGAATGTTGAATAATTTACACTTTTATTATACAATTAGTTTTTTAACAGTTTTCTTATCAACAGAATACAATTGTATTGACCTCATGTACATAGCAGCTTATGATAAAAACATTATCTATCTACAGTCTACACATGAAGTACTTAGGATTACAATATTTTGATACATTTATGTTACAATTAAACTAACTCTAGGCAATTTTCCTTTAAATAAATGATGACTATAGGCTAAGCAAGTTAATGTCTATACTTACTTTAATAGTTCACTTTTTCTTTTAATAAGAGCTGAGTTAGATATAATATCATTCCAATATAATTTTTTGCCACAATAAACAAGTCACAAATATTTTTCTGCTGAAGTTTTTAGTATTCAATAAAGTTGCATGTAATTTAACACTTGAGATTTTATAATTATTAAAGTAAGTTAATGTGCATTTTGTTATTACAATAAATTTAGCTCTGTAGAACAAAGTAGATGGAAAAAAATATTAATATACCTACTTAATATAAATAAATTAAATTGTTAACTTACATGATCACCAGTGCCCGCTAAATGTAGACACATCGGCTTGCTGGTAGGTTCAGGCCAATGCACCGGCAGTATCACCTGGAAATGTGCCTTTCTGGCGATCTCCGGAACTATCCCGGGCAGGTACCGATCAAGCGGAGAGATGAAGTAGCCTTCCAGCAGTTTGCAGTCATTGAGGTTTTGTTCCTTTATGGAAAAACATTTTCAATATTATTTCATGAAGTTTTTAAGAAAAATATTTTGAAAAAAAAAAAGCAATTCAATGTTTTAAAGTTGAATTAGTGAATTAAGTTTGAACTTTGCTTCGTATTGGTGCTGAAGTGTTATGTAAATGTCCAAGTTTACAATGTTAATCAATTTAAAATTAGAATATTCAGGACTTTTTTATGAAAATACATAAATATTCAAAATACTAATAAATGGAACAGTATACCAACCTTGGTTATTGTTACTGGATAATCTCTTTCTATTAATTTGAAACACTCATCGCGGTTGGACACGACTTTTCTGAACTCAAATAACCTAAAAATAAATTTCAGTAGTATTGTCACTGCATCAGAAAGTTCAACAGACATCTTAATAAACGTAAAATAGATAAAATATACAATAAAACATTTGTTTTTCGATTTACCTGCGCAAATTCTCCGGTTTACCCCATCCTTTTGTGAAAAATTTGGTTAGTAGAATACTTCTGTAAACTGCATCCAACTTACTGGCGGACATTTTTCGTGGAACGGGATGGGATTTGATAACTGTGTTAGGTGATAATTAGACAAATTTAGTAAATAATTACGCCGTTTACCACACTTTTTTTCAGTACATTTTTGTGGAATTGAAAGATGTCAATAAATATATTTTTTAAAATCAGCTGTTGCTTTATTTCTTTTTTGATTGTTCCTACGCTTTGAGCACTATCTTTTAAGCCACGAGCTCATTCTAAAAAACAAACGAACAGCAACAAAATCATCAATCATCATTTTATCATCAATTCACATAACTATATAAATTTTATCTAATCTCATCCGCAATATTAAGTAAACTACCACAAGATATGAACATAATTTAAAAAAAAGCACTTCTGGTCATAGTAATATTACCATAACCATAACCTATTTGTGTAGTAACTCAAAAACACCAAAACCAAAATAAGTAGGTGTATAGTAAACTACTGTAACTTTAAGTACGAGCCTATGTAGATACTATACTAAGATAAAATTACTAATCTATTCCTACTAGTATTTCCAACGCCCATAGGTATACCCTTAGATTAATCTAAGGGTATACCCAGATGCTAATTTGGAAGGTTTTATTACTGCAACGGGCAACGATTTTACCCCATTTCCAAATTGCCCCAATCTTTCAGTCAATCAATTTTATCTACTGTTTAATTCTTTTTCTTCTTATTCTTTCGCTTTTAGCAGAGCGGTCATGGTTACATTGAGGCGTGAGACCGTTTAATTCAACTCATCTCTACCTTAGCACTACCCTCGCTAACAGTTCCTCAATAGGTAACTTGTTCTGTGGCTATGTGCTCAAGGATAACTAATCTAAAGGGTCAAGTACTCTGCGATGTACTGTGTTTACCATCGATGTGCCACCACACCTCAGCTCAACTAATAAGTTTTAAACTATTCAAAATTAGGGTCCCTAATATGGCTACTGCTCCTTGGTGACAAAACATAAAAATGCAAATTAACATGTGGGCTGACCGAGCCTATTGTTGATGAAGAGTTATGTTTTTGTCCAAAATGGAAATTGCAAACGATTAGAATATCATTTTCATCTTTCAAAAAACATTTGAAGGGCAAAGTTGACCTTGGGATTAATGTTACTTGCTCGTGCTCCTCAATAAAATTATCATCAATATTACGGCTTGTGATCTTTGGATCCTAGAAACTGGTATCACAGAAACTAAAGGGTTTCGCCGCATGAAAGCAGCGCTTCTCAAACTTTTCGTCAACCCCCGATTATTTTTTTCCACTATTATCTGTTGTCTCATCTATACTAATTAAACTGTAGAAAGAGGGTCAGATTTTCAACGCGTTTTTATAATGCATTGAATACTACCTCAATAAAAAAGTTAAAAAGAAGACGAATATAATGTAGTTATCAATCACTGACGGCCCGATGGTATTGTGGTGCGTTTACCGTTTAATATTACAAGTAAAAGGTCCCAAGTTAGATTCCTTAGAAAGTAAACTATTTTAAATTGGTTCCGTGTATGTGCGCAGGGCTGTGATACACGCCTCCAGCTGAAATGTTCTATTCGTTACACGGAAGTACCTACCTAATTCGTTACATTCTAGACCTTGTTATTGTTGCATAAAGTTGGGTAAGTTTTTTTATCGAAGCTCTTGGCTATTATCTCACCTGATGGTAAATGATAATCAGGCCAAAGGTGGAAGCGAGCTTCACCCGGAATCCTCAACCATAGAGGAACAGAACTGGCTATCTTACCTACCTCTAACTTCCGGAACACAACAATGCTGTTAACCACAGATATCTGTGCTGTTAACATTGTTGTTATGGCGAGGCGACAGACTTAGGTAAGATGGTGGTAGCTAGCCAGGTGGAATTAGAACAAACCCTACCACCAACCAAACCGAACCGAAAAATCTGCCCCCACTGGGAATCAAACCCGGGACATCTGCGTCTGAAGTAGGTGGGCTTACCACTAGACCACAGAGGCGATTGGTAGAAGTTAGTACCAACTACAAAATATTGCCTTAACTTTTATCTGACACTTACGTAAGTAATAACGTGGGCTGTAAATGAGTCAGTAAGTAGGTTTACAAAAAAGAAAAATAGATCAGATCTGATTCGCTGATCTCCAAAAATGTATGCTAAAATTGGTATTTCAATTCATTAATGAGCTTGTTTTTGTGCCGCATCTTCTTTGGATGTTTAAATCGAGCCGTGATACCAGGAATAAATATTTTTTATGGCAATCTATTGATACAAATGCTCAAGATAAAGAAAAATGTTTTACGCCCGTATTCACAAACGATGTTTACATAAGTGAAGCAGCAAACTAACGCACGGCGTTGAATAGATCGCTGTGATTAGTTCGTGAGTCACCCTGTGCGTCCACGCGCACTGTGAGACCTCTTAGTAATGTTTATGAATACCCGTTTAGGCCGAAAATGTAAGACAGCTTCACTCGCAATCCTTGGAGTTCTTAGCTTGTGGAGTAACTAGAGTTAGTCAACCTTACTTATCATAATTCATTTATATCACGAATGAATTATGATCTAATAATATAACTACTTATTCTTTATTTTCATTATGATATTAATTTAAAAGCGCAAAACCGAAGCAGGCAAATGCCATAAAAGGCCAGTGTAGGTTACATTCATTCGATTGATTTGCGTGAGTCATTGATATTGATAATAAACTTACTTTTACATAGTGGACAATGATTAATCATGATAACCTTACCTTAGATTCAACTCTATGACTCTACGACCACTAAGTATACCACTTATCTTAGGGTATCCACTAATCCATCAGATCCTAGCATACTTGACGCTGAGCATACTCATTGATAAACAATACAGAAATCCATGTATAATACTATAGATTTTCCTGTTATCCTACAGTGAATGGACCATTTTGTCAAATAAGCCATGTAAAATTCGAAGAAAACGTCCAATTCCGGTTAGTAGGTAGATATACATAATAAACACCGAATTAGAGAAATGACGTAATTTTCGTAGTTGTTAACCTGTCGCGAGTAACTCGCCTACGTAGCGCAGTTATCCAAATAAGGCGGGATAGCAATTAAAAGCTATCAATGGCGGGAATTAATCGGCTACAATAATGTTTTTATTTATTTTATTGTATGACTAATATGAAAATGGCCAATGTGATCTTTTTGAAGAAGATGTCGAATATTGGAGTTCTTAAAAAACTGCGGAAGAAAAAATAGTGCAAAAGCACCCAGTGAGCGTAGGCGCTACGGGCAGTATAAGGACGCTGTACAGTCTTCAGAATTGTTTTCCTCATCGTACTTAACGACGAACAGACGTAAGTGTCTCCCCAGTGTTGTGATTTTTTTAAAAGTTGAATTAAAAATTGAGTTTGAGTGGTTTAAACGAGTGCAGTGAGGTTTGTCTGGCGTTAAAACTACAATATTGTAAGAGTTGTGTCTACTTTTGTTTTGTACTTATTATCTCAATTGAACTTATTTCGGCGGCTTTTCAAAAAACCAGAAAAGTTATTCAGAGAAAATACCTACTTCAAATGTTTAAAGCAACGATAATAATATTATCTTTTCTTCCTATTCTTCCCACATAATCATTATTTCTTTAACCATTTTCATCTCTTGGTAACGTAAGTTCTTAATAAAGTAGCTGTCTAATGTACCTGCCTATAGCATAGAGTACTTACCTACCTAGGTAGGTACTATATGAGTAGATACCTACCTACTTATAGTTCTCAGTTAATTCATCACTTACGCATTCACAGTAGGTAAGCTACAGGTACAACGTTCAAATTAAATACGATGTTATACCTTACCTGGCATAGGCACAGTTAAGTACGTTAGCAGCATTCATTTAAGTCAAGACCTATAAATAGGTACCTGCATGAATCATTGAGGTTGTATTGTATTATTGAATTTTGTTATTTAACCTCTGTTTTAAAGCTAAATCAATAGTGTATTGTTTCCATTGAAGTTACTATTTACTTACTTATTATGTTTATTTTAAAGCTGTGGCTCACGCAAAAAATAACTAAGTACCTAGGTATTACTATTACCTATAGCTACATCTTTGATAAGTAAATATGTACATAAAAAATCAATCATTAACGTGAGTAAAATGGTCATAGGAGCCCAAACTTTGGAAGAGCCCTTTACCCCCGTACCCTTAACTTTGAAATGACTTTTATTTATTGTATTGTTCTCTGAAAGGCAAAATCGTCTACTCAAACCACACAAACTCATGAAAAGAAAAATAATAATATTATGAATAAATTTGTATTTCATGAATTTTAATGAGTACCTAGTTACCTATGATGAACGACAGTGACATACTAGAATTAACACTAAGAATTTGTGATTGTTGATTACAGATGGGCGTGAAAATGATGTCCATAGCACCTGTGGTGCTTTTGGCTTTCTTCAGCATTGGGGCAGAAGGTAAGTACTTACCTACCACCTGTTGGAGTATTTTTGGAGGGTCCTGAGTGATCTATATTTCCTAGAATATTGGGCGTCTGCGTCTCTACTGTAATTGCATGCATCTGTCTTTCCCCTTGATTTAAAATAGGCACCAATCACCATACTTAATTATTAACATAATAATAATAATTAAGATGTCATCCAGATGAAAATGTAAATTTTTTGTAATTTTTTTGTTATGAAAAAGCTTACCTCATCTTTTGATTAATCATGTTGCGAACCATATTGGTTACTTTAGTAGGTGTTAAAGTCAATAAGCTTAAATTAATTGACGATTTGATTGCATATTTTATGATTAATGAATATCATAAAAGTTTTTGCTGGTGCTTAATGACATTATTTAATTTTATTAGGTGATCAAACTTGAGTTTGTTTATACCTACAAATCGAAATCATAGGGTCCCGTACGTAGAGGCGAAGGTCCATTTAGCGAAGTACATTTTAGCGAAAAACACTCATGGTGGAGCGAAAGGCTACTGAAGCGAAACACTCGTGGCCGAAAAAGTTATTTTGATGACCTAGAAGAGCTTCATTTTGATTTATATGAAAGCGTACCACCATGGGTGTTTTTCGCTAAAACGTACTTCGCTAAATCGACCTTCGCCACTACGTACGGGACCCGAAAACATAATATTGTGTTTAGGTACCAGTTTTATTCGTCAGTTGTTATTATAGTTATTTAGGTTTTTTGATTTTAA